ATACAGTGTCCAAGCATTGCGCAACTAACCTCGTTCTGATTCAGTCTTTGCAGCAACGGTTTGCGTATTGGTTAAGGGTTTTGCCTAGAAACTCGCAATATTCTAAAGGCTTTCTTTCTTTACAAACAAGCAGGCAAAGCGCAACTAGGTCACCCGTTGCAAAAGGCCCAAAGGGCGCCGTCTGGCCGCTATCGCTGTAGTTATTGTTATCATGTTGTCTTGTTGGGTGTGATAGAGAAGAGGAAATGAGTAAGGGAGCAAGAGAGGAGTGCCCACGAGCTAGAGATAAATATATGCTACGGTGACTGGTATTGAGACCTGCCTATATAGAGGCCTGCTTCGCCTAGTATACAGTGAGCCAACATTACCGGTACAGTATGTGTACAACATGAAGGGGGTGTGTGGCGGGAGGGTACAGGCACGAAACAACTTACATAAAAGCAAAACAGATTGCGTGACAGTAGGAGCAGACTGGCTGTGAGCAAACCTGATGTCCAGACAAAATGCGGTTTCTAAAATCGGGTCGAGCAGCCTTTTTTGGCAGGCATGCCAGTCACGTGGATCTTAGTCAGCAATGTCGACCATTGTCCGCCCCATCCCAGCAGACAAACCTCCAGTATCAGGCTTATTTAAGGCAGAGCGGACGGGATATCAAGTTCTCCTAATCCTATAGTTGTATGTAGAAGAATACCGTGGAATGGGCCGTCATATATACCGGTACCTACCTGTGCCCCGCACCACTTGATGGGTGAGCCCTACACCTCGCTCGGGCTCACCACATAAAGTGGTGCTCACTACAGTAGCACACCAACCACAATAACACACCAGTCTTCCAAAATAACCACCCTCCAGCCATAACCACACTAAAGTCATTATTTCTTTAGACAAACGACTTTTTTGTGATGGAATCCTGTACTCACAAAGCCGTAAAATATGCCGACAAGCATCTGGATGCCTCTGAACGTGGTATCTGCCGCTAATTTGGGGTTCCAAGAGAGCGCTTCCGCAACCGCCTATAGGGCATCCCTTCTAAAAAAGGACCACGAGAACCACCCAACAAGCTGAATATGATACCAGAAAAGGCCGTCTGTGCTTATATCGACCGCCTAGATGTCATTAATCTCTCTGTGAGGCCAGAATTCATCATGGAGGCTGCCAACTTGCTGCTCAAAGAATCGGCAAGTGCCGCGGTTACGTAACTACCCACAGTTGATAAGAATTGGGTCTCTCGCTTCATCAAACTCCACGGATACTTCAAGCAGCCTCAGAAGGTCCTTTCACAAGATCAGCAAGCTGCTTAAGACCGTTGCAATGTAGTCACGTCAGATATGAAAGGGGCCTTTGACGCTGCCCTAATAGGACGGCTGGTGGTTCGCATGAGAGAACAGGGCTGGCCAGGCTTTCTTATAAGATGGGTCCAGTCATTCATGTCCGAGCGGTCCGCAAGGGTTCGGTTTAAAGGTATTATAACTGATATAAAAGCTCTTACTTGCGGGCTACCACAAGGCTCACCAGCCTCTCCTATCCTTTACATGCTGTATACTAAGCAAATCTGTGCCCAACTTAGCATGAAAAGAAGACGTTTTATATATACAAACAACCTAACAACTCTCTGTATTGGAAAAAACCTTCAGGAAACAGCTATAAAGGCTTCTGAAAATCTTTATTTGCTCAATTAATAGGGACATAACAACGTTATTAAATTTGACCTCAATAAAACTGAGATCATGCACTTCTTAAGAAAAAAAAACTCAGACAACCCTCCAGTCCGCCAACCAGACAATGAACAAAATAGCCAAGGTTTCCATGCGATGGCTAGGTGTCCTTCTGGATAGAAAACTAAACTTCAAAGATCATGTTTCTCATTAGGCCAAGAAAGCTAGTAAGGTAGCAAATCACTTTCAAAGACTATGCAACATAGTTAAAGGACTTCCAGTAAAGTTGACTAAGAGGGCTGTGAAAGCTTGTATTATTCCTATTCTTACACACGGCCTGGAGGCCTGGTACCTGGGAAAAAAAAAATTTGGGAGCTTAGTTGAGACATCAGCATATCGCATTAAGGGGCTTCTTAGAATAATAGATGCTGTACTACGAACGGCAATTGAGGCTATCTTGCCGGTCTGGAAAACACACCTTGGACATATCCTACACTTTGAATTGCAGATTCCTCCAACAGGAGTTTTTGCAGAGTCAATAAAACGACGTCACGGCCTCCGACTAGGACGAATAGACCAGAGATACCCTCTTATTGACAGACTCCAAATACAAGCTCGTAAGGAACCAACAAGGCTATAAAGGAGCTTCCAGCTAGTCCCTGACTTCCAGAGACCAACACTCACCAAATAATTATAGAAGAAGCCCTCAATCCGTAAGGACAAAGACAAAAAAACAGAGCTCTTCAAGCAATGGCTACAAGAAAAAAAATATGAACACTGACCTTGTTATCTATTCGGATGGATCACAATTGGACGACCAAGGCACAACCCACACTGGATGGGGTTATACTATCAGAAAAGGCGGCACCATACAAGAAGTATATCGGGGAAAAGACAGACTTCTTTAAGCAGAAGTAATAAATGCTGAAATCCATGGCACTCTCCAAGGTCTCACAGCAGCCAGGGTGATTGGGCGCGAAAAACGGCTATATGTCTGCCTGGAAAACACGTCAGTGGTAGATGGGCTCAATGGGACCCCACCCGAGACATCACAGAACATTTTTCTACGATTCCAAGAACTTGCCACAGCACACACTCCTAGAGTGACCATCAAGTGGATTCCTGGACACAGAGATATTGATGGCAACGAAGTTGCTGACACACTAACAAAAGAGGATACTATGCTAGAAACAGACGTAATAAACCTTCCTTGAAACGCACTGAAGAGTACTTTCAGAAGCTGGGAAGGGTCATCAGGGTGGAGGGCATTCTCCCTGATGACCTGTGGAATATAGACGAGACTGGCTTTTGATTAGGGGTTGGAAAGGACCAGATGGTCGTCACCAAGCAAAAAAGAGCCTATTATTTCAGAATACCAGAGAATAAGGAGTCTGTTACTAGCATAAAAGCTATCTCTGTCATAGGTAAGGTTGTCCCAGACTTTCTTATCCTCTTTTGCACCCTCCACACGTCTCTATGGTACAAGATACCCAAATTAGACCCTAGAATGGCGATTGCAACCACGGAGAGTGGTTATTTAAACGACGAGATTAGCCTAGAGTGGATTAAGCACTTCAACAAGCACTTTAAGACCTCTTAAGTTGGTATAAAGAGGCTCATAATTATCAACAGTCATGGTAGCCACTACATGATACAGTTTAGTAGATATTGTAGCAACAACGGCATTATTCCTTTTGGTCTCCCTCTGAATATGCCGCATTTGCTACAGCCGCTCAATGTGGTGGTTTTGCAGCCCTTGAAGCACTACCATGTTAAAGCCCTACATATTATAGTGCGTGATGGTCTTATGCATATCGGGAAGATCGAGTTTCTGTTGTGTATTGAAAAGGGTCGCCAGCAAGCTTTTAAAAAGACCACTATCCTCTCTGCCTTCAAAAAAACGGGTATCGATCCCTTTAAACCGTTAGTTGTGATTAACTAGTTAAAGAAGCGCGAAGCTCGCGCGAGGACCACGTCACCCCCTCCCCCCCCCCCTTAACCAGCCTGGTTCCTCTCTAGTTGCCACCTTAGCTACAATGTGGCAGATTCACAAGGTCATGTATTAAGTAGACAAAGCCTTGAATCACCTAGATAATGGCAGAGATCTTACTCTTGAAGATATTGAGAGGATCAAGCTCCTATCTAAGGGGGCGCGCTTCTCCGCCTCCCAGCTGGTCCAGACTAAAAGAGACCTTGGAAGGACCAAATTAGCTTTTTAAAAGACTGCCTGCTACTGATAGCTATGAATCTGGCAAGAAGATGCGGTCGCTACGTGAATTTTAATGCAGAATAACCTCATATTGGTGTGTTATTGTGGTTGGTGTGTTACTGTGATGAGCACCACTTTATGTGGTGAGCCCTAGCGAGGTGGAAAGTGGTGCGGGGCACGGGTAGTTTGTGCGCGAGACTCTGAGAGTCTCCAGTTCCTCCCTTAGTCCGATGCGTGTGCCAAGGTTGCGGGTTCCTGATTTGGACCAACCGGCTTCAATGCTGCTCTTGGCAGCATGACGGTCGCCAGGTGAAGGGGACGCTTGGTCCGTTTGGGCGGCCGGCAGGAAGACTTGAAGTCGGATATGCATGCGAGGCATGATGGATTGAGTAGCATCGTGTGATGGGTCGCTTTGCCGCGGCAGTCGGGACGGCTCGGGATTGTTATGTACACACCCATTTTAGCCTTAGACTTACACCCTTAAGCACGGACACTGTCTGGATTGGGGTATCCGCAACCGGATACCCCTATCGACACCCCACGCCGTCTCCATCTCCCCCCACAGGCCGCTGGCATTCCTGCCTTCACCTGCAGCCAGCCGGTCAGCGAGCTTAACCGCGGCAACCTGGAATGCGGGGAATCCAATTGGAAGTTCAAGCGAACACCACTCACTGCTCTGGTCTCTGCTACCTTCCAACAGCTGGCATCTCAGCCATCCCACGTGCAGTCCTTCCACCGAGAGTTCTCGATCGACCCAGCTGCAGCCTTACCGGTCTTGTCGCGAGCTCAAGCGAGGGAGCCTTGTCGTTGATACGTTGGCCTGCGACCGAGCAATTCTCCTCATATGTAGAGGCGTCTGGGCATAGTGACGTTGCCGGGACGCGGCAAATGCACCGGGCGTGAAATCTGTTAACAGTTCTCCAGCCGGTCCAAACCCAGTTTTCCGGGTCTCTACTAGTACCGGTAGTCTTGCTCTATCTGTTCTGTCCTCCAGGCCCCAGACGCAGACTCCAGACTCCAGACTATTCTCTCCATCATCTCAACTTCTCCCAGCAGCTAGCTCATCTCATGGCTGCAAGCAGACGAACTGCAACACGTGTCGTCACTTACACTACATTGTCTCTTATCAACCAATCATGAGTGCCCTGGCAGATCCTTCGGTTGACGCAGCCGAGCTGCGACGCCGGCCGGCCTCAGATAGCAGTACCCCTCATGGGCATGCGGGGGTCGAGGTCCGTCAGGACGACCGAGGTGGGCATGACCACACCGCTGCGCCGAAGACACCGAAGACCAGGAAGACGTTCGGTCGGACCCCGGATGGGACAGGTGAGTATACGCCATCCGCCATTGAGATAAGGAGCCACGACCCTGGATGCTGATCTATCTGTCTGTCGGTGCGCAGTGTTTGTAGTCCCTACCACTGGTGACAGGATCACGCAGATGCTCAATCCCAGGGAGCCCAAGAGCCTAGGCGACATATTTGTGCTGACTGTGCTCGCTGCACACATACTGGCTTTGTACCTCCTGCCGGCTTCTCTGAAGCGCCCTGTGTTCGCAGTGATATACCTCATCTGGAGGGCTACCTACAATGTCGGCATTGGCATCCTGCTACGACTGCAGTCCAACGACAACAAACTTGTCGCCTGGGCTCAGAAATGGAAGCTCTTTGAGCATCCTTCAACTGGCAAGAATCCACGGCCATGGCTATACAATCTCCTTAAGCGGGAGGCTGAGACCGAGATCAAAGAGGACTTCGAGTTCGAGAAGGCCCCGATACAGTACAACACCTGGCTAGTCTTCCGACGATTCGTGGATCTCGTCCTGTTGTGTGATTTCGTGTCCTACTGTCTCTTTGCCATTGCCTGTGCGCATGCGCCAGCGGGCGAAACGGTTCTCATGGCAGTTGGGAGATGGGCCCTCGGCTTGTCTCTCATTGGCTTCAACCTCTGGGTCAAGCTTGACGCACTCCGGGTTGTCAAGGACTACGCCTGGTATTGGGGCGACTTCTTCTTCCTCGTCGATCAGGAGCTGACTTTCGACGGCGTCTTCGAGATGGCGCCGCACCCAATGTACTCACTTGGGTACGCAGGCTACTACGGCATTTCCATGCTGGCCTCGAGCTACCCCGTGCTGTTCATCTCCATCATTGCGCATACCTCCCAATTCGCCTTCTTGACTCTCGTCGAGAACCCTCATATCGAGAAGACATACAACCCGCCTACTCCTCGTAAGCGTGGAGACACTCACGGACAAGCCGATAGTCAGTCCGACGAGGTGACTGCGTCACAGCCTGTGTCAACCGACGCTACCACAACTCCCCAACCATCGTCGCCTTCTCAGATTCATAAACTCCTCGGTTACAAGAATGTCGACCTTTTCCGCAATACCGACTTTTCCACACTCCTCCTCGTCATGTACCTTATTGTTCTGGCCATCGTCACGCCACAGCGACCGCTATACCGATTTCTATTCGTCGCTCACGCCTTCCTCTGGAGACTCTGGTACTCAGTTGGCTTGGGATTAATCCTCAATCGTCAATCCCACGACAAGATGTGGACCCGTCACTTTCTCAAATTTGGAGAGACCACAAATGAGGCTTGGCGACAGTGGAAAGGAATGTATCACATCTCGCATATCTTGTGCTACGCCTCGTTCATCGCGGCTTGCTGGAAGACGTATGCTCTCCCAGCCGATTGGAGCTATGGGTTCACGCTGCTCAGACATGTAATCGGTACTAGTCTCATCGCCTTGCAGGTTTGGACCGCCGTGAGCTCGTATGAGTCGCTAGGCGAATTTGGCTGGTTCTTTGGAGACTTCTTCTTCGATCGCGGCGTCAAGTTGAACTACACATCTATATATCGCTTCCTCAACAACCCCGAGAGAATAATCGGAACCGCAGGTCTATGGGGTGCTGCTCTCATGACTTGGAGTAAGTCGGTATTCGTCTTGGCCTTAGTCAGTCACCTATTCACACTTGCTTTTCTCCAACTTGTCGAGCAACCACACATGCAGAAGATCTACGGCCGAAGTCTCCGGGACGAAGCTGGTCTGACAAAGGCCATCAAACGCTCCCTGCCACCCCATGTCATGGAGTGGCAGTCGAGCGTTAACAGCCTCATGGATGAAACGTCACATTTCGTCGAGGACTTCCTAGATATGGCCCGCCCAAAGCTGGCCTCGGGTGTTTCGACCATCGTGAGGGATACTACCGCGCTTTTCAACACATACCCCGCCCGTCTTCCATTGACCAGACTGTCACCGGATCTTGCAGGCTTGGACCCAAAGCACTACTCGGTAACCGTAGAGGGAGAGACCTCTGCCGGCTCTGCGCTGATTGAAAGGTCTAGCGGCAAAGAAGGCACAGCTGGAAGATTCCCGAACGAGCTCAAGACGATGATTTTCGAGTACGGTGCGCCGATCAAAGTAAAGTGGACAGCACCGGAGAATCACGGCAAGAAAGATTGGATCGGTCTTTACATGGTTGCTGACAACTCTTCGCGAGAGGTCACTGCCCACTCATCGCTCGGGCGGTGGATCCCAACCACACCAGGCCAATACGAGTCCACTACAGCCGACAAGGGCATTCTGGTATCAGACAAGCCAATTCAAAACGAAGGCTCTGATATCGATCTCGTTAAAGGCGAAATGGTATTCTCGGGAGACAAGCTTTGGTGGACACAGGGTGTCTTTGAGTTCCGCTACCATCACGATGGCAACCACAATGTGATGGCAATCTCGCAACCATTCGAGATACACATCGGCCGCTTCGATGAAGAGGATGTGGAAGTCGATACGCAAGGGATGTATCAAAAAGCCGTCGAGTCAGCTTTGCTACCTATGGTGCAGAATTGCCTCGATCGAGATCCTGACATTGCCCCGAGCTCCGCGGCGGAGTCTTGGGGTAGCCATGTCGAACGTGACGGTAAATTTGCTAAGAGAATAGTTTACGCCATGCGACAGATGTTCGGTGTCGAATTTACGCCTGCCGTGGTGCCTGCTGATGGCAACGTCAGAAACCTCGCATGGAGAATCTGCAACGCGAAACAAGCCTTGGTAAGTCGTCTCACACTGGATCATATTCCCGACAATGACTTACCTCCCTCCAGGCACCATACAGCATGTCTCAATCTAGGGGAACCACTACGCCGGCCGCGGAGAAACCCCCGAGCCCTTAGTCACACATAAGAGTCGTCTTATATAACGGCCTCCAGCACATAGAGCATCGACCGCCAGCTGAGTTTCCCTTTTGATCCCCGAGAAAAGCGTTCTTCCTTGCATGAGATGTGAAGCGCGTTTATCTTTTTGCGTTTGCATTGAAGAAAGAAAACCGGCGAGACTCGTGACTTGACGAGTCTTCTGTATGTAGATAGAGACGAAGAATACATACGCATGATCAAGATCTTCTAGTGCCAATCTGTGGTGACTGGTTGGGTCAATTACTACCTTGCACTACCCAAGGCTCCTCTCCACAGAAGCATGCGTACCAGAAGCTCCTCCATCCAGAACTGTACTGCGTGGCTGACTTGTTTAGACGCCCATAGCGACAACAGCACGGCCTCAGATGACGGATATTTCGTTTCGCAGTAAGGCCCGTATGTCAGTCATTAAGAGGCAGAAGCACGAGACAAGCGAGAAGGACACCGCCACCATCACCATAGCGGTGAGCTGATCGTACTCTTACGCTCGCTGTCACGGCGGTTTTTGGCGGCGGTTTTTGGCGCCACTATATCGAGCAATATGCTCATTTGTAAAGCAGACTCAGGGGGTAGTATACCTACCTAACTGTAAGAAGTCGGCTGTTCAGGGGAATCACGATATACGGCTCCGACCACCGGGCTACCCCGCTCCCGAGTCCGGACCTTATTATACAGCCAACACACCTACCCCTTCCGCCAACACTATAAAGATTCGGAGGTATGTTTGAATATGTACTCTGAGGATCTAGCTTGTGAACTGCCCCTTCCTTGATTCTTCTGATTATCTCCACCAAGCGAAGCACGAAACGACCTCCTAAACCTTCCCAACAGCACACCATAAACGATTCGAACCGTGTGCACTCCGCTAGCCATGGACGCCGCCAAGATCGCAATGGCCGAGACCATCCTCAACTACCAGTTCCAGCAGCAACTCCTGCTGTGGGAAGCCCTCCAAGCCGCCGGCAACGGCGTCCTTCGAGTGGGCAATCGCGTCCTGGCTGAGGGCAACAAGCCCCTCGCGGGCATTGGCGACAAGGTGCTGGGACTATGTGCCGCGCAGGACATTTACGCGCAGCAGGGTACCATCGGTAGGCCAAGTAACAACTTCCGAGCCACATCCGCCAACTAACGCGCGCTCCCATCTGCCTTGAAGCCCAAACCAACCACCACGTCTCGACGCTGGCGAACAATGAGACGCTGAGCCAGATCTGCGACGGCAGCGGCCTCACCGCCTGCGTCAACGGCAACCCCGCGCAGCGCGGCGTCGTTCCCCCAAAGACCAAGGCCGCGGCCGTCGAGGCTGTCGTCGGTGCCGCGTACATGGATGGCGGGCTGCCGGCGGCTCGCATCGTGATGACAAGCTTGAACATCCTTTAGTCTCTCTTTCCGCGATAGAGAGGGAGAAGTTACCGGTAATGTAGACTCCCCCTCATCCCTCCTTGAGAAGAACTCTACACCACTCGGTGTCAGATAAAGTGAATCCAGTTCCCTAGCCACAGGGTTTCCGGGGTCCGCCGCACCCACGCCGTCGTGGTGTCCCGCAGCGACGTCCCCAGGGGCCGGGCTTGGCTGTTCCCCCCGCAAGTCGCAGTGGGCTCTTCGTATCATGGGGTGGATACCCCCGACAGAGCCCATCGTGCCTTGCCCGGGGAAGCGGTTTCGGTCCCTCCGGGCGACACCGTGGGACACCCCGGGGGCGCGGATGGGGCGGACCCCGAGGGTCCCGTGGCAAGTCATCCGCCCGTCCCGTCTGCTGGGAAAAGAGGCGAAAGTATGGGAACTGTCCAATCGTTAGAGCCCGCTCGCGGCTTGCCTGCGGGAGGGCCTGAGACAGTTTGCTCCAGAGTCGGGATTTTGTTCGTCTGTGTGCGACTGGCTCTGATATTGCTTGGTACAGGGGCGCGCACAGTCGCTGATGCCGGTGGTCTGTTGAGTTGGCATGTGCAGAACAAGACAGGAAAAGCTCGTGAGGGGGATTTGTTCGACGGGAAAAAATTGGCGCGGGTTGTGACCTCAACGTCGACTTCTTTGCTGCGTGGTCTTTCAACATGAAACCAGAGGAGAGGGTATGAGCATAGAAATAGACTTTTGTCTGGGATTGGGAACGGAGGTGGTTAGCCAAGGAACACGCGAAGGCAACCGAGACATTCATTATGTGTCATTCTGACCTCAACGTCCGTGACAGATGGAACGACATTCAACGTGAGGAGATGATGTTGGAATAGCTGGAATCGAAAAGTTGATTGCCTGGACCGTAACCTTACCTATACCTTACCAGGATTGGAAAGTGATGTTGACCAAACCCCAATGCTAGCCGCAGGCTGCAGTACGTCACTCCATTAGACGGTCATAAGCACCGGAATAGCCAAATGCTAAACAGTATCCGATGCGCGATTCTGTCCCGCACGAATACTGTTGATCGTCCACGGCCGAGTGGCCAGGGGCTCAAGGGCGGTCGGCCGGATCAAGTGAAGGTCAACCCTTGAAACAATGTGCCGCGGGCTAGTTCCAACAGGTAAGAGCGTCGTATCCTAGAACAGTAAGATCTCTTGCGTTTCGTTTTAATGAGAGGATACTCCAAGTATATCCTTTATACCAATCTTTAACAAGCCGCCACGTCGAGACGAACCCACTGTAGAGTACTCAGGGGTCGGTAAGGTGTAGGACATCAAGCAGCTCGACTGGTGATGGACTGGCTCTCAATGGCATCGACAAGACAGCGGGAGGCCACTCGCAATATTAGAAGCCTCGCCACTTTAGAAGAAGTCGCAGAGGTCTCAACCTGATGCACTAGCGTTGTGACTATTATATCGGGACCTAGAATAAGCATGTTCAAACTAATAAACCATTTCTATGCTTGTTCCAGACTGGTTATGCCACTTCCAACAAATGCGCCTTTCGGTTGCCGAACAAGGGGTGTACGGAGATTGTTGTAAGTTCAGTGTATGTTGCCACTCCGACGAAATGAGTGCCAATACCTTGGTCCCTGAAAGCACGAAAGAGCTCTTGATTACAAGTGACCGTGTAAATCTCGAATCATGAATATTGAGGTATATAAAGATGTGATCTGAGGGCCTAATACAAGCACCACGACGAATTAGACCCCTTGCCACGTCCGGATGGTATAGTTTTTGTGTAACGTTCGGGTACCTAGCGAGAGCATAGTATGGGAAACGACACCCCTATGTCCCAATCTCGACGAGTTCGGGACCATCCAATACCAGCTAGTTATATTAAACATCACGTCGGTACCGGCCCCGAGCTGGCCACTAACGAGTCAGTCAACGTAAAGGCGCCGAATCGCGCCTCGCCGAAACTCTGAAGTGGAAGAGCGGCCACGACCAGTAGTGGCGGCGGCGATGATCAGCCATACCAGACGAAGAAGACCTCTTCCGTTCACCGCGCGCTTCTTCCAACTCCGCCAGGCATGCCAAACCCCCTAATTCATGACATAACGGCGCGGCCGGTAGCTCAATCGGAGTCACACCCAGCTCCGGGACAAACGTGTCGTTTAATATCTGTTGTGTCTTGTGACGTGGGAGGCAATCCGAAGGCAACTCGGGCTTTTTGTAGCGCACCCGTGTCTGTCTCTGTCTATCCTTCCGGGCCCTCTTCTTCCTCCAGAACCATAGGAGGGATCCGATGTTGAGGGAAAGTACGCCGATCACCGTGCCTGCTATTGGGCCAGCTAGCCAAGCTCGATTATTTGTCTCGGACGAGGGTGGACGAGAATGCGTATCGGGCATCTGACTGTTGTTCCAAGTTGTTGTTGCAGCGCTTGAGCTTGTCTTTGTCTCTGTGCCGGACTTCGACTCTGTGCTTGAGCTTGTAGTGCTTTCAGAGGTTGGCTCTGTCCTCGAACTTGTATTTGTTGTTACGCTCGACTCCGTCGTTAGACTTGTCGTAGCTGGCTGGGGTCGCTATATCGGAGGTAGTAATGATCTGTGCTGTTAGATGCTCGTCAGTCAGCGTACGACACCTTCTTGTGCAGGATCGCACGTACAAGTACGACGTGTAGAGTCAGTGGCTTGTCCATCTGAGCTTGAGGTCGAACCGGAGCTCATAGCAGTCGTAGCCAAAGCGGCACGCAGCACGGTTGTGATGGCAAAGGTAGAGGGACGCCCGGAGAAAGTGACTGTCGCGGTGGTGTCGATTACATCAGGTATCGCCATCCTCAGCGAATCACAATAGTCGCGGTATTCATCTATTGGAGGATTCCCCAGCACGTCGGGTTCGATCTGACAACATGCCAGGCATTCTACCGCCGATCGGATGAAGACGCTGTCTGGCTTGCATCTGGTAGCAAATTAGAGCCAGTAATTACTCCTTTCAGATGTTTTGCCAAGAAACAAGGAGTCGTAATGCGTGTCTCGGGAGCAAAGCTCTTGCCACAGGCTAGAAGAACTTCGCGCCCAGGACATGGCCGTATGGGGAAATATTAGACTCGAAAATGTACATACATCTTGGAGTGGTTGCCGATGTTGGTTGCCTCGGCCCTCGCGGTATCTGATATATTAATCAACTATCATACAATTGCAGTTAGACGCTGGTTTGTATACGTACTGCAGATGGAGTGGCACGACGATGCCATCCTCAAACAGAGGATTGGATGAAGCATGGCATGACCCCTATTAGAGATGGACAAAGGCTACAGACACAGGAGGATTTTGCTGATCTTTATTGAATCTACTGAGGGTTTCTCGTCAAGCCGACTACGTGCCATGTCGGTTTCTAGGCCCCATTTCCCATCTAGATGAGGCTACAGCTGACCAAGATGGCATTGGATGGTCAGACAAGACCGATTGACGTAAGTAGTATTGCATGCCGTCGTCCGGATCTGATTGGGGGGGTCATTGGGAAGGGTCGCCTCCATCGAAGCTGCAGCTGTGTCAAACCTCGCGACCCAAGTTTCACATGACATGAGGCACAGCTTGAGATTTGGCATGTCGAACGCCAACACTCTCGTTCGGACATCATCAACTGTGACGCTGAGACCGCTGTTTTGAGCATGGAGCGAGGCCTCAGGTAAAACTCAATAGCGTTACAAATAAGTAGGCACACCAGGAGTCATGAAACCAACAACAAACACGACACTGACGGCGACTAAGGTCTGGATTGTGACCTACTTATTCAAATCAAGCTAGGAGATTTCGATCCTTCATCAATAGCCTCGGAGCTGCCTTGGGCACCCCCAGCTCGTCGAGCTTTGGCGCCTGCCTTCAACTGATCCCACTTCTCCCTGTATCGAACAAGGTTTGCCCGAACTTTGGTGTAGCTCTTCTCCAGCTCCTCATTCTGTCTCGTCAACACCTGGTTGTGTTCCTTGAGCTCTCGAATATTCTTCATCAGCGTTTCTTCTGCCGATCCAGCCTTGGTCCCGGCCGAGCTTGGCGGCCCTGGCGGCATTAAACGCATGCTTTCCGCTAGTCTCATCCCTGAATTCTGCGACATGGACTCGAACGCGTGCAGCCTCTTGCTGAGCTTGTCCAGCATGTCTTTCAGGCTCTTGTTTTCCAGATAGAGCTCTTCAACCATGTTGGTGACGTCTTTGTCGGGGCGACTCTTACTTGGCCGTTTCTTCATGCTGGGTGGGTAGGGTGCCTGTGATTCTTTCGCGTCGACAAAATCATCATCGTCAGCATCTTCGAGCAGGCTGCCCGAATCCCCGTGGACAGAAGCCCCCAAGCGACGTTTCTCCTTGTCCGCAAAAGTCAGGATGCTTGCGTAAGAGGCCGTGTGGCCACTCGTGGGAACGACGTAGAAAGAATCGTTCGTAGATTGGCCGTCACGAGCAACAGCTCTAAGCGCCGCTTTTGAATAGATTTTCTTGAGGTCAGGTTCAGTAGACGCCGAAAAAGTGGAAGGCCTGAGCCTATGCCGCCGCTGCACCGGTGACTCTGGCGTGGGGGTGGGGGCTGGCTCTTCAGGCTGCTCTTCGTTGATCAGGGGCAATCCAGCAAAGGCAAGTGGCGCAGATATCCTATTGATGATACTCCCGAAGGCACTATAGAATCTGGAGAAGCCTTCGTCACTTGAAGCGGTCGAACCATCGATTGGGCTCCTGGGGGTCATGCTTTCCTGCGAACCACTGGTATTTTCGGGCGAAGCAACAGCACTCGGCCTATCCGCAGTCTCCAGCATGCTTTGCATCTTTGTCCTGGATCCTGCTCGTCTCGACGTTACCTCCATGTTCCCGGGAGCCTCGGTATTCGAGACACTTGGACTCAGTGGCTGGGAACGATATTTCGAACGAATGCCGCGGGCGGAAGCCAAGTTGCTAGCAATTGACGCCCCGAGGTCGCGCGAAGGGTACTTCGGCTGCTTCATAAGGGGCGGCAAAGGTGGTGGGCTCTTCTCATTTGAAGATCCATGTGCGCCATCAGATTTCGCTGAACTGACGGTGGGGCTGGCGCCCATGTCCAATTCTTCCTTCTCCTCAACTTGGGATTCATTCTCGGCGGACTGGGAATTCGCAGGCTTCAGAGGGGCTTGCAAGAGCTCGGAGAGTCTTTGGTGATGTTGCTCGAGCAGCTTCAAGGTCCGCAGAGCCTCGACGCTTGTAGTATTCTTGGCAGCATTGGCGAATTCGCCGGCAGCCCTCGTATGCTCGTTGATGGCGACGGTGGTGTCGGCGGTGGTGGTTGCTGTGGACGCAGCTTTGGCATGGTCATGTGCCTGTGGTTGGTTGATCAGCTACGGGTTTCACCATAGAACCAGGAGCTTTACTTTGATCAAAGGAGACGCCTCCATCTCGTGGGTAATGAATTGCTCTGGCCTCTTTCAGGTCCAAAGCATAGGAAAGAAACACTACGAGGCTATCACCACAACTGCCCAAAAGGTATAAGCAGCCAGGCTGAGTAGTGCCGATTCGTTTGCCTTGAATGCAGCTGTGGACGACATGCGTGATTCGACGAATGATGCTGTCGCGAACCTTGCCTTCTCGAACGCAAAGGGAGGATTGGCTGCGAGAATGGAAGTGATTGGGTCGACCGCCACTAGATACTGTGAACACTCATGTGAACACTCATGCGCAACTGTACTCCAGCTGGCGGCGGCCTGCCAGCTCGTCAGCTCCTGTGTGGCTTGGTAGGTGCTCCTGGCAAGCCCAGCAGGTGAAGTGGGTCCTGACCAGCCCACATACCCCAATTGGGGCTGGCTGCAATCCCTAATCGGGGATAGTTGATTGCGGGGCTGCAAGCCCATCGTCACTATGACCATTGGGGCAGCTAATAGCCAAAGTTAGCGGGCCGTCAGTCGTTGACATCCAGGACTCAGGGCTATCAGGACTCAGGGGGCTGTCTCCAGGCTGCGCTACTGCGTCACAGCTTGTAGCAACATTGAGGATGCGAGAGTGTGTAGCTGTGGCTGGTGATTGTGCATGGCTGATTTTAGAGCACCATTCAGGGTGTCGCACCCGGTTGGACATCACCAACACCCGACTTTTGTTATCTTCTTAATCAAGGTTCTCGCTGTTAGCTTTCTGGAACACAGAACGGAAACATCTCATCTATTTAGTGTGTAATTACCGCAGAGAAGGGGGAGACTATGAGCCCTCAACCTTAGGAACACCAAGCTCCCGATCATGACGACACAGCCTAACTAGCGCACTGGACTATAGCGAGACGGTTACCTCGTCACATGCCGTCTTACCGTCTCTGTCTTCATCTTCATCCGCCTCTGGGACCCTCGAGGTGTACACTGGTAGGAGAAAGATAGGTCTTGAACTTCCCGTTTCCCGGTTCTCCCGGATTGCGATTGCATCCCACACCTCACACCTCACAACGCGCTCTCGGGTGAGAAGCAGCACCTGTATCAACATCGACAATGAACGCTGCCAGTGGTAGCAGAAGCCCCGGCCGTGCCAGTGGTAGCAGTAACATGGACAAGGTTGCGGCGAAACTCCTACCGAAGAAACTGGCAGCGAAACGACGTTGGAAGAGACAACCTTCGAAGGAGAGTTTTGGATCGGCCGTCAGCAACGAGGAACATCCTCGCGGCCGTAGCCCAGGCAGCACGCGTGAGCCGCTAAGGAACGGATCCGTCTCAACCACGCAATCCAGGCAATCCCAAGACACAGCTGAGGAGCCAGACGGACATGATGACCACGACCGTGACCGTGGTCATGACCATGACCAGGAGAGTGAACCCCAAGAAGGGAGAGGTGGTGCCGCCCAAGACTTTGACCACGATCCGTAAGTCGTTACCCATATTCCAATTCCTTTGCTCTGTTCCCCATTCCAACTATCACTCCATCATCCTCAGCCGACACTGTCCATGATAGCGGGTTCCATATTACTTGCCTACTCCGTATCTATTCCTCCCATCCCGAGCTTGATGCAAACCGCTACCACACGGGGAAAACCTGCCATGGCAGATACTTTGAACTCCTCTCCATTGTCTTGATTATAATCAACAAACAAAGGACACATGCACTTCTCGTGTGTTTGAAGATTGACCCTTGGCACCTGAAAGCCATCAGGTCAGAGATGGCGCACAGTCCAGATCCAGGACTGTGGATTGGGATCCATCCTTTGGTGGCCTTGGAAACGCATCCAGTAACCCATTAGGTATCCAGCCTCTTCGTGGAGCTCTCCAGTGCTAGCCCCGACGCCGCCTCATCCGCCTGTCTGCTCCCCGTCTCCCCTCCATACCTACTCTCAGCCGCCTCATCTCCTATTCCTGTCCTGTCATCCTTTGTCTCTGTCGATACCCTTCTTTGTCCTTCGCTGTCCTTCGTTACGTACGAATGCACGCTCCCATGTTGCGCTGCGGCTTGCAAATTGGTGTTACTTACTGTATCACATTACACATTGGTCTGACGCGCATCTACTCCTAGAGCCGACAGGTCTTCAGTTCGACCCAGCGTTCCTTCGACCCATCCATCGCAAATCGGCCATTTGACAACCTCGTCGCCCATCATTCAGGCCGATCATCTCCCCGAGGTCCAGTCCCTGGACCAGCAAGAGTCTTTCGAGAGTCTTTCGCGCTTTGCCACCTACTCCACGTCCGAAAGCTATTCTCACGAGCCAGCTCGTCGGCTGTCAACCAGCAAGACCGGTCTGCAACCAGCTTCGGACTCGTCCACACGTCGATCGAAATCGCCAGCCGATAGGATAAAGGACGCTTTTCTGGGCAAGAGGGATGTGAGCGCCCCGGGCAGCGACAGACAAGCCGACACCTTTGACCACGAACCGAGTACCACATCATCAGACAAACCACCAGTCCAATCGATTTCCCAGTCGAACTCAACCCTGGCTTCGCAGTCCGATGCAAATGTCGCCAAGGTAGCGGCCAACGAGCGATCACGTCGGCATAAGAGCCAGGCGCCTATGCTTGATACCTCAGCTCGTCCTCACACACCGCCGTCCGAGCCCGGGGCTCCTGTTATTGTCAATACCCCGCCGACTCCGACTGAATCGCATCATTCTAGGGACAGGAGTTTTTCGAACAGCTCGAGTCCAAAACCACATGTGCTTGTATCGCCCTCGGGTAACATGAGCACACACCGTAGACACAGATCAGGATCTGGAGCAAGCATTGGCCCGAGCAAGTTGTCCAACATAACACTGGCACCCTTGACACCAACTCCCGAAAACGCTGTTCCTCCCACGCCCGGAGCTGGTTTCTTTTCCAGTGTATTCTCCGCCGCGCAAAACGCTGCCACCACCTTGAGCAGTACAATCTCTAATACCAATATTGGATCCGCCGGAAACAAGCCCAAGGCAAACTTTTTCGGAGACACACAAGCCGGTGAGGACGACAGGGTCGAAGTTGAGCCATCTGCAGAGGGGTTGCATGATTCTAGTATGGGTAGCAAAGAGCCTGCTGTGAAGACACTCGGTATGGGTGACTTGAGCCTAAGCCAGCTGGGCTACCAGGAAGGTGGCAGCGCAACACCTACGCCCACCGCCAACAAATTCTCCGACGCTGCGGCTGATTCACGGGCGCGATCTGAATCCGCTCCCGTGGATGCCGCAAACACACACGCTCTTGGTGACGGTCAACTTGATGATTCAGGGGCTGGTAGGCCGAGATCCCTTTATGATCCAGCTGCTGCGACCAGTCCCCCGACTAGTGTGTACGAAGGGAAGCAGGGCGCGGGCGTACATCGCAGTAGCAGCATACGAAGCGCCCTCTCGCGACGGCGGAAGCGTGGTAGTACTGGCGGAACCGCGGGCACTGCCGCTACTGTAAATACGATCGGAGCCGCCATAGCTGCAGCAAACGCCTCGGTCGCTCACCCTAATGCTGCTGGGAGCGTCCCAAAGCTGACAGGGTTTGCTGTGGCGAGTAAGAAACGCAATCGGGACTTCCATGCCCTATTCAAGAGCGTACCCGACGACGATTACCTCATTGAAGACTACAGTTGTGCTCTTCAGAGAGAGATCCTCGCCCACGGCCGACTCTACGTTTCTGAAGGGCACCTGTGCTTCAGCAGCAATATCCTCGGATGGGTAACAACCTTGGTTATGAGCTTCGACGAGATCGTATCAGTTGAAAAGAGAAGCACGGCTTTGCTTTTCAAAAACGGGCTCTTGATTACAACACTACATGCAAAGCATGTGTTTGCCAGTTTCACCAGTCGGGACTCTACCTACGACCTAATCGTTAATATTTGGAAGCTTGGTCATCCGACTCTGCGCAGCTCGCTGAATGGTGTGTCGCTGGAAGAGACAGGAGGCGACAAAACCGAAAAGGTTGACGACGTTGAAAACGCAATCGGAAGCCAGAGCGTTTCAGGGTCGGAGGAGGAGGAGGAGGAGGAGGAGGAGGAGGAGGAAAGTGAAGACGGTGATGATATCTACGACGAGGACCAGGAAGACGACGATGTCCCCGAAGCATCCCAATTGACAGACTCAAGTCCCATCGAGACTGATGGCGAAAAAGCCGTACCTAGGAAAGCGTCCGGCGCCATTGCTTCCGCCGGTGCTATCGAAAAGACTGATTTTGCGCCCTCGCCCGCCGGTGCGGTCGATTACCCTGGCCCCGCGGCTCATGCTCCAACCGACTGTGGCGACATGGACACTCATTACGACGTAGTGCTCGGTGACGACATCGTCCCTGCCCCCATCGGCAAAGTCTACAACATGATCTTTGGACCCGCGTCCGTAACATGGATTACGAAGTGGTTGAGTAACGACCAGAAGTGTTTCGACCTGCAGATGGAAGACAAGAAAGGGTTGACACAGGAGAACAAGTCCCGAAATTACACTTACATCAAGCCCTTGTACGCCTCGATAGGGCCGAAGCAGACCAAGTGCATCGTGAACGAAACATTGGAGCATATGGATCTTGAGAAAGCGGTGAACGTGCTCGTCACGGTACAGAACCCGGATGTGCCAAGTGGCAACGTATTCTGTGTCAAGACAAAATATTGTCTTTCATGGGCCGAAAACAATGCGACCCATGTCACAGTCAACTGTACCATTGAGTGGAGTGGTAAGAGTTGGCTAAAAGGTGAGTCGCCGAACGTAGCCAATATTCCCTGCTTTTATGCTTACCTCATTAGGACCTATCGAAAAGGGTGCCAAAGACGGCCAGACACAGTACTGCAAAGACCTTTTCGCCAGCCTAAAAGCAGCGGTGTCCTCCCGGCCTCGGTCTTCGACTCTCAATGGTGGACCGGTGAAGGGCAAGAAAAGGAAGACCAAGGGCAAACTCCATCGAGCCTCCAAGGAGACTCTGCGAGGCCCGACCGACTCAGCAGCGTCCAAAGTTCAGGACTGGGGCCTACTTGAACCGCTCCACGGTATCCTCGGGCCCATTCTCGATATTCTCACGCCTGTACTCACCGGCAACGTGGTGTATGGATTACTTGTTGGTCTGTTAGTAGCGACCTGGTTTGGATTTGGTTCCAATGGTCAATCAAGGGGAGGTTACGGGCGAGACATGGGCTTCAATGGTTACCCAGACCGCGTCGTGGCCTACGAGGAGATATGGAGACGTGAGGAGAGCGACCTATGGAATTGGTTGGAAGAGAGGGTAGGCCTGCATCGCATGAATGAAGGCGCTTTGCCCATCCGCAAACGAGTGATGGAGCCACGGACAGTGGAGGATAAACTGCGGGAAGAGCGCATGAATGAGAGGGAGGTGGGAGAAGCGATTAGAGTCACGGAGGAGAAGCTACAGGTCCTGAAATCAGTCATGGACCGTAAGAAGGAGAACCCCATATCGGGAGGTAAAGCCAGACCAACGACGTTTCCCTCGTCCGAGAGGTAACAATGGCGGCGTGGGGCGAGCGGAGGAGACGAAGCAGGACAACGGTGCCAGTGCAGAGCAACTGACAAAACCGACTAACCTACACAATACACGACCTATACACACCACGCCACGACGAAGCACACCTGATTTTGTTGAGTACCTCATAACTTGTATATTAACAGAGAACCTGGTTCTGTCTATGTCGAGTTCCGTCCATACATCACTCGAGTGATACTATGAATGTGTAATAGGGCTCACCGCCACCGAATGCTATTCGAGCCGAAAGACGGCTGGTGTAAGCCCGTGTACTCGCCATCTCCAGAATTAGGATGTGATGCGTAGCACCCTTGTACCAAAGAGGTAGACTCCTTCACGGCCCTTAATGAGCTCACTCGCGGCAACTGGCTCTGCTAGCGAGTGACACGATAGGTGAGGGCTTTAGTTTGACAGTAACGTTCAATAGTCCTCTACACCTTGCGGATGCAAAGATGGTATTGGTATGTGATACTCTGACGGGGAACGGACGTCATGCACAAGAACATAGGCTTGTCCGGGAGACCGCAAGAACATCGTCATGTTCCATAGGTTGAACGGTACTATGAATGGACTTCACTATAGCCCTATGACCTCACCCGCGATGTGTAGGTAGATACAGCGTCTCGCCGACATCCCTCACCCAATAACTACCTCAGATTACCTAGTGTCGAGTCCCTTCTTATATCTAGGAATGACATGACGAGACCGAGCAGATGAATATCGCAGGGAGGACGGCGAACGAGCCTCCAAGAACTCTGGCAGCTGAGCCATCAGGGGACTTCCCCGACCAAACACACACCTCTATATGGCATCGTACATCAAATATCGCTCCTCGAGAGACGACGAAGTGCCCCTGCAGACCCCAGCCCAGCATCAAGCGCAGTTGCCACGACGCCAAGGATTATTCAGACGCTAGTCCATCCCGTTAGCCTTGGCTGATGGGCTCGTCACCTGCAATTGCCGTAACACGTGGGCCAGGGATTCAGTCAGCATACCGGGCTCGGACGGGAGGCTGGCAGGCTGAGCTTCTGCTACAGTAAACAGCCAAGGTACGAGGTATAGGTAAGGTAGGTAGCTAGTACTGGCGAAGACACGGTGGAGAGGGCATCAGAGTTTTTGGGGGGAGCTGCCCATTACGGACAAATATTATGGGTGCTCCTTTTCATTCGAGACAGACGCAGTCTGCTGCAGGCACGAGACACCCACATATAATATAGCCAGCCTGTGGGCGCTCATAGCGGCCAGCCCAGATGTGTCCAGAGTCATCGCGCTGATATCCCGCCCGAGTGAAGGCAGGTGTACTGTTGTGAACATTGGAACGTAGTAAGCCCTACGGTGGTATGATGGAGCCGAGGAGGAGACACGTGCACTCCGTCCCGCAGATAATGCAATATCACAATGAGCACTGACAGGATGATGATCTCCCGCGTTCCTACGTTGCCCCCACTCAATGCCATAATACCCCGGCGGAGTTTTGACAGATTCTCGGAAGGGTTACCGAGGCTGGAGGCCTTATAGGCCAACTTGGCCCAGGCTCGCAACCGCATAGGGCGAGCACGCCAGCAACAGTCGCCAGCGGGGTTAGCTGCGACGGGGACTTTTCTTGTTGATCATACGTAAGAGGAGGCAGACCTGTCAGTGACTCGGTGAAGCTTGTGTGGGGGAATATGATGTGCTTCATAATCGTCTGATCTCTCTCTCAACAGAGATATGGTGTCCGACCAGTCAGATCGACATTAGAGATCGTTGCCGTAGAGTCGCTTTGAATGCTGTATTTCTTTTCTGTAATGGATTCTATCCGATTGATACAGTGAGCTCAGCCAGCGAGCTCGCTTGTCTAGCTTCCAAGTTCGGATGGCGAAAGGGCACAGGAGGTAGAATTAGGAAAGAGCCTCGAAGCGGTCATGTGACAGTAGCAGAGAAAGTGGATACAAAGTTAGTTTATCGGCTCGAGCCGAGACTGTAGGGGTGCCCAACTCCAAGCGTCCCTAGTTGTCGATATGGTTATGCAGGCCAGCCTGCAGGGGTTCCCATATTCCCACCGTTTCCCACTATTTACACTGTAGAGTGATCAACTCCCGGTGTCCCTTTGATGGATGGAGCACCGGACTCCAACATTGGCCATTCGTCATCATTGTCGTCAGGCCCTTTCCGCTGCACCCTCGACGTCCCCATCTCGGTCAAAGTGATACCTGATTCTTGGTGTTTGGTTGCGTGCGTGCTGACGTGTCGAGTAACGGGAGTAAAGGCCCCTGGCCCCCGACTAGCGTAAGGCACAGAAGCTGACCGAGAGCTCTGCGCCATATTCCGCTGGAACCGTATGGGAACAAAGGTCTTGTACATGTACTGCCTGAATGTCCTCGTCGTGCCGAAGACGAAGAAAGCGAGGAGAGGGGGCGTGAGACCAGGGAGAAACAACACTGCCGTCTTTTGAGCTCGCGAAGTACTCAAGTCAGGCCTGCTCACGGTCTCGTCAATACTGGTGTTTTGCCGGGCAGCAAGTTGAAAGAGGACGTTGCTGAGTTCAAAGATGCTAAAACCTCAGTCAGCTTAACCTGTAAAATGTCTCTATATGATCCCATCATCATGATCGTGGATAGATCGAGTATTATCCCAAAGTTCGAATGGACCAGTCCTCAACTCTAATGCAGCGACCATCGTGGAGATTCGGAGAGCACTCACCCGAGGAAGACAAAGCCAATCGTGAAGCGTGTTATCAGCCATCTGTCGTATATACTGCTCTGTGGTTTCTGTTGCGAAGATCCAGTGTTCTGGCCGCCTTCTGGAACTGACGCGCATTTGCCGTACCCAACACTCCAGCTTTGGCACTGTCTTCGCGATTGTATATATCTCCAAAGGATGGCAAATAGGAAGCTGCAGCCTCCAGCGAGATTGATGATCACTTGAGACGATGTCAGTTGAGGGAGGCCGAGGAGAAATAGAAATCGCTTACACAAGATGTCGGCAATCAGGAGGAAGGCGATGAAGCTGCTTCGAACTGCCTTCGCCTGAAGGAGAGATATCATGACAATCGGTAGGACAATGGAGATCACCTTGCCTGCGAGCTGGATGTGCTTGAGCGTGAGTCGTAGATGAGGTTTCGTGGACCAGCCGTATACCGATTGAGTCAAGGAGAAGGCCCAAAACAACACGGATGTTGCCTCGATATTGTAGCAACAAAACTGTATGTAAAACAACACCAAGTCGACCCCAGTAGAGCTATTGGCAATGACGAGTTCCGGATTCCCAGCATTGGCCCGAGCATGGTGGAATTGTTGTGTCATAACCGATTCCCATTTCCTATGGGATTTCTTAGTTGTAGTTGCCAGTGCTGGTATTGAAGGGCGAGTGTCAAGGCTCACACGTAGACATGGAACTGCTGGATGATACTGGCCGTAGTCGAAATCAGAGTGAAGTAGGCAATCCATGCCACATCTAGTCAAGGTGATTAGCATCAGGAGGCAGATCCCAGAAGGTCTGAATAGCGCACAGCTTGTTCGTTCATGGTGAACCCACACCAACCAACTGAGCAACCCGCCGCATACCTCACAGATGAGACTGTAGAGAAGCACGCCCGCCGCTGCGCCGTGAGCTTCGGCTGGAATTCCAATAGTCATGTCGGTGGCCTCCCGTGACTGGTGGTCAGAACTCTCAGAGTCGTGTGTAGTCCGTGTGTACAAGACAGAAAGGAGGGAACCACGCCCTGGGAAGCGATGGAATTGTATATGTTCCACAGCCGTGCAACCTTCAGTCGTCCCCTGCTCAAGGTCTTATAATACGATATAGACAACGCGCATGGATGATAGTCCAATCCCCCACTCGGAGATTAGACATGGCTGCAGGTCTGGTGCGACATCAAGCAGACACATGAGGCTCAAAAAGAAACAGCTGATACTGTATGCAACGCGGCCACGCAGCCCATCAAAGGCCAAGGCATTTGTCGTACTTCTGAGTGTACGCTGACACTCCTCCTTCGTCCATAGTGACATTGGAGCTGCAACGGCGGCCAGAACGGATGTGAGTTACATCAGATGATCAGAGTCGATTCGACAGGGTTGAGGGTACCAAGTGTAACCCCAACGCTCGAGAATAAGAAATGGGGGTTTGAGAACCATCGAAGAAGAACTGCTATCGTGTATGCAGGTGGAGTGGGTCGCGAGCCTACAGTGCTTGGCTTCAGGGTATACCGGTAAGCTAGAGGCAGGTAAATATGGCGTTCGCGAACAATGCCATATTCAGACTATTCAGATGAAGGTCTCCCGAGAAATGGTGATTCCCTTCAAGCTTCAGGAACATGATCCGCACTGAGCCGGACCGGGGGACCCAACGATCAGGCGAGCTCTCAGCTCCAAAAGGTAGTCTTCTCCGCGAATAGCTTCGTCATCCGATCGGACCGATCTAGTTGAGACGGAGGTTGAATAGGGTCAGGGTTAGGAACCGGCAACATCGAGGTCATGTTGCAATTACTGCCAATACTCTTGAACGAGCTCCTCATCCCCCGGACGTCATGATGGGTTCCGATCGAATGTTCTGTCAGCTCACTTCATGCAAACGAGGGAGACGAGTGGTCGGAAGGTGCTCCGGCGATGATTGGCCATTGGCTGTTGTGTCATCACATCTCTCACTGTCTCAGCCCTTGGTGTTGAGAGGAGGGGATCCCAGGCCATGTTCACTGCACTTCAATATCGTGTGTCAAGATACGCACGTTGGGGCACCAGCCACTTCCAGCAGGTTAGGTCCACTGTAACACGTCTAAGCCACAGATCATCACCCCGCTACGCCTCCAAAGTCCATTAACGCGATACTTCACTCAAGACGCGTCTCAAATCGAAGCCTGTGAATCGTGAGCTGGGAATTGACCGATGCAACGCTGAACAAATCCTTTACATAATACCGCGACAGCACATCTCGGACATCATCGCCATACAACTGCGCATTGTTGTCCGCCATGTCGGACGACGATCAGGACGATATCCCTGCCCGCTACAACGATGGCAACCGCGCCTTCCTCCAAGCCTTCATGGCCCGAGGCACCATGACATTCAAGGAATCGCAGCCCATCCTAGCCGCCATCTTCACAGCCCAGGAGAACGAGCAGACCGAGCCCAACCAAGTCACCCAGGAGCAATTCGCCTCATACGTGTCCGCGGCGTCTGCCGCAATCTCACCCTTCGACCTGGAGATCCGCAGTACGCTGCACCAAACGAAAAAGGTGCGAGTGTACGCCCTCGTCAACACCACCTCAGATCTCATGACCCAACTCGCAACGCTACACAATGCCGACGAGATCGCCTTCATCAAGCGCGTCATCGACGCCATGTTCGAGAAGTACAACACTCCGCGCCAGGAGGTCATGGGCGTCGACGGGATGCAGGCCATCAAGCTTCGCACGGCGCCGCGGCAGGTCAACGAAGACGAGGACATGGAGAACGGCGAGAGCCAGCCCGCCACGCAGTCCCTCAAGGGTCTCAAGGCCACCGAGGTGGAGACGGTGATGGCCAGCATGGTCGACGAGGGCTGGTTCGAGCGCACCGGCGAGGGGCTCTACAGCCTCAGCCCACGCGCGCTGATGGAGCTGCGGTCGTGGCTCGTCGAGTCGTACAACGACCCCGACGCCGAGGAGGGCGAGTGGCAGCGCGTCAAGTTCTGTGAGGCCTGTAAGGAGATCGTCACGGTCGGACAGCGCTGCCCGGAGCGGGACTGCAACGCCCGGCTTCACGACATATGCGAGGACGCCTTCTGGAGAACGCGGAGACAGCGGAAGTGTCCCAGGTGCGAGAAGGAGTGGACGGGAACGCACTTCGTGGGTGCCAGAGCCGTCACCGAGACTGAGGCGTACCAACGGGGTAGGAGAAAAAGTGGCAAGGGAGGACGGAGCAGCAATCTGGTCGAGCATATCATGCATGATGGCGAAGAAGACGAGGACGACGAGGATTGAGTTTGGGCCGGGAACGACAAAAACGCGAAGGAAAGCCTCGTCGCTGGAAAATGGTCTGGTTGAGCAGGGGTTCAACCAAGTAGATACCCTTGTGTGAGATATCAATGTGCTATGGCACTGGCTTCTGTAGGGGTTGTAGTCCCAGTCTGCCTGTCTACCTCATTTGCTGGAGTATGAGAACATTTGAGGTGTAATAAATACCGAACCACCGACCTGATCCTTGGTGATACCTCTCTATGAAGCCAACTTGCTACCTGACGGGAAAGAACATAATAAGCACCTACCCTGATTCGAGGTGTGCCATGGGCTGAACACCGGGACACGCAAGTGTGTAAGGTACATGACATCAAGTTGATTCGCAAAAGTTGATGCATTCTACACTCTGGTGCTCCTACTAATGCTCCTGCTGGTGCTCCTACTGTGATCCCCTAAGCCTCAACTTGCATATAGGTCGTTCTTTAGATTGGTCCCAAGCACCTGCACTGGGCTGACAACGGTAGGGTATACAGTAGAGAAACAGAGATATCAATCAAAATTTACCCGGTCCTGCAGAACTACCCTTCAAAACTGATCATTGGACTAGAGATACTATCCGATGCTCATTTGTTCGCGATCAGAATGAACCGAGGCGAGATCCCTGATGAACTCCAGGCTGTGGCTGTGTCCAGGGACCATTGAACTGCCGAGATCTAGCGTGGTCCAGGCCAGCCGGTCGACCCCACGGCCCCCCACAACAAGCTATCGCCACAGCGGTCGGGTCACTGGTGCATGTGAGTGTGGCGGGGCAGTTAGTGACGTATGAACTCTACAGCCGCCAAAGGCCTCCCGCCAGCCAATATGCACCCGGCGAAGCAGCATAAAACAGGCTGGAGAGTTGGTTGGGTGCAACAATCTCAGTTTTTGAAACATCCAGACTTCATTGTCCTGCATCTTTTCTTCTATCACACATCCACTGCATACGAAGAGCATCTAGACCGCAGACATACGACTCAACCCATTTCCGAGGGACTGTTCCCACCCCAAGAAGACAAGATGCTGAATTACTTCACCACCAAGGTGAAGAAACAGCGCGCGGACAGGGCCAGCGAGGACAAGGCCGACAAGCAGCAACTCGACAAGGAGAAGGCCGTCGCCTCGAAGCTCGCAAAGTCCGAAGCGGCGCTCAAGTTACCAGAGCGGCGCTCCACCTCACCAAAGGTCATCTCGAAGCCCGAGGCTCCTGCGCCCCGAGGCCCAGAAGGTAGTATTCCTGCATCCGTCGAATGTTCAAGCTGACAGGTAATATCCAGGAGCTCCAACCAATGCCGACCAAGAAGATGCCGATCTTCAGCGAGCCTTGGCCGAGTCAGCCGCCGCGTCTGGTATTCAGCCCCAAGGCACACCCATTCTCGACCGCGAAGACGAGCGGTTCCTGGAGAGCCTGACCTCATCCGAGTTAGTCCCCTCTCTTGGCGAGGACGACAATGAGACCCCACCGCCCCTGCCCCCTCGCGTGAAGACGCCTGTCTTCGATATAGACAGCGATGTCTCTAGCATCGCGAGCATGGAAGAGGAGAAACCCGATGTGAAGGGCAAGGGCAAAGAGCAGGCCACTACCGACAACAACTTGAAGCCAGCGCCCAAGCGCTTCTCCTTCGTAACGAACCTCTCACGCAACATATCGATGCGGCGCAAGCCCAGCTCCGCCAACAAGACGGCCAGCCTCGAGCCCTCGTCGCACCTTGCAGTCCCCAATCAGGAAATTCAGAAAGAAGAGACGGATATCACGCGCGTGCTCGACGACCTCGGCCTCTCGGCGCAGAACAACAAGACCTTCTCGCTGTCCAAGGAGTCGGCCGAGATGGTGCAGAAGTTCACGCAGGTGCTCAAGGACCTCGTCAACGGCGTGCCGACCGCGTACGGCGACCTCGTCGCCCTGATCGACGACCGCGACGGCATCATCGCCCGCAACTACGAGAAGCTCCCCAAGAGCCTCAAGAAGCTCGTCACGCAGCTGCCCGACAAGCTGACCTCATCCTTGGCGCCGGAGCTGCTCGCCGTCGCGGCCGAGGCGCAGGGCCTCAGTACTGCCTCCACGGAGGGCGGCAAGGCGGGCCTGAAGGGCGCGGCTAAGAATTTCCTCACGCCTAAGAATATGAAGGAAATTATTACCAAGCCAGGCGCCATCGCAGGCTTGCTTAAGGGCATCGTCAACGCGCTCAAGACGCGTTGGCCCGCGTTCATAGGTACCAATGTCCTGTGGAGCGTCGCCGTCTTCCTGCTGCTGTCGGCGCTATGGTACTGCTATAAGCGCGGCCGCGAGGAGCGGCTCGATGGCGAGGCGGCCGCCGCGGCTGGCTCGCCCATCGATGCGGGTGACCGTGTCGAGGAGCTGCCCGACGACCCGCTATTGCCGGCACCGGAGTCTGGTGCTGCCGCGAAGAAGCCCTGGGAGGACGAGGGCGAGAAGAGTACGCAAGGCGTCAAGTTGCCGCCTCCTCCTGTTGGCGAACATGCGGTGCCCTCGGCGAAGTAGGTTGCGTGGATCGAGCTCATGATAGAAACGCACCCTGGTTGGAGGGAGATGGTGATGGACAGTGGTATGGTGAGACAAATATGATGACGATACCCCCTTTTTTTCTGTTCCGAAGTCCTTCGTTGGCTGCGCTGTGGGTATGGTAATGACAATATCCCTTTTCGCGAGGTAAAGGTTGTTTAATGAGTTTGGGGTTTGGTCCGCGAGCAAGATAGGGGATGGCTGGCCTAGATGTGGCGAGAGTCTTTTCGCCTGAATACCTCTATTTAGTTTAAGTAATGAATTACGCACGTCTCACAGAATACTCTCTTAGAATCATGTGCAGCACGCCGATCATGTCTGGGTATATTCGGGCGCGGACTATCTCCTATCTACCCTGCCCAGTCTGTCTAAGCACCGCAGGTTGGGTAGCCACGGCATCTATGAGCAGGCTCAGACCGCTCGGCATATCCTGAGCAGAATTGCGTAGCGCTCCGACGGAGATCGTAAAGCAACCCATGCATATCTCAGAGCCCCAAGGACACTTTGCCTGTCTTCCTCGCTGACCTCCCATCGCAGAGTAAGGAGGCTGCCAGGACAAGAAGACCCCAAACGCAGCCACCACCATGGAATCCATTGTGGGTTCGTGTCGTACTGTACAGGCCGTCTTGGCACTCACTCACTCTGTGCCTACTTCTAGTCATCCTGCACAATCTCCTTGATCTCCTCCCTGCCGGGCGCAATCCCCACCAACGTCTCGGCCTTCCCGTCGCGCCCGCCCGTGCGGTCGATGACGCGCGCGCCGTCCTGCATCCAGAAGTCGACCTCGTCGACGATGTCCGCGACGACGTCCTCGACGATCTGCTCGTCGTAGCGCTCTGCCAGCGGCCGGACCTTATCCAGCTTCTGCGCGGCTTGGTTGCTGCTCTGCTGCCCGACCATGACGGTGTCCGGGTCCGGATCCTGGGCCGCGTCCACCATGTCGACGTCGTCGCCGTCCGCCGCTGCGAACCCCGGCGGTGGGCACCAGAAGCGCGGGCCGAAGTTGACCTCGGCCGCGCCGCCGCGGAATAAGCTGATCGCAGGGTAGTAGCCGAGCATGCCGTCGTCCATGCCCTCCCGCGCACCGACCTGGACCTGAGGTTTCGAGGCGGGCGGGAGGAAGGCGAGCAGGTCCGTGAAGGGCGTGCCCATCAGCACGCCATTCTTGTAGACCTTGATGTAGGAGTTGGGCAGGGTCCGAAGGGCAGGTTCCTTGTGGTTCGGGTTGGGTCTATCGCCAGGCCTACTGCCGGCAGTCCCCGACGCGCCCACGGGCGACGGGTTCATCAGGTCCTCCAGCTCCTTCGTCGTGTGGTAGTCGATCTTCTCGAAGTAGATGTGCGCCTTGAACCGGATGGGTATCCGGTCGCGCACGATGTTGGCTGCCTCCGCGCTCGGTTCTTCGTCGTCGAGGAGGTCCACGGCCGGGTTGTATTGGCCCTGGACTACCTTCCGGTGTAGCTGTTCTGACGGCAGTCGGATCTCGAGCCCGATGACGTCGCCTTCCTTGATATCCTCACCGGCGGGGAAGAAGTCCTTGGGTCGGGACATGTGCACCTTCTGGCCTTCCACGTCTCGGATACCATAGCTGTAGGCATCGAACCCGACTGGCGCATCTAGTGAGGCCTCTCGTCTTGCGAAGCCCATGCGCACGTGGCCGTGCGCCTCGCCCTTGCTACCATCCGCGGTATTGATTGTTCCTCTAGTGATTTTGCATTCCCAATACCATGTGCCCTGGCGCACCGCAACGTTCGCTCTTGCCATCCGGAAGCCCTTGTCCGTCGTGATGTGTCGGCCTGACTGGTCCAGGTACATGTGTGTGGAGGCATCTTCGAAGCTGATGTGAGCACCGTGGGGTTCAGGTTCGGTCTGGCGGTAGTAGAAGGAGGAAGGGAAACCGGGGTCGGCTATGCAATGGAGGTAGTGGTAGTTCTTCTTGTTGTAGACACTGTAGCCCGAGTCAGCAATGCAACGCGCCACCTGGATCTCGAGGTGCAACCTACTGTTCGGAGGTCTCGAGGAACTCAATGGTGGAACCGTCGAGGGCGGGGACGTTGTGGTGATGGGCGAAGAGAGGAGCCCGAGCGGGCTCGAAGTCTGAGGGTTTCGGGGGCGCTAACTTATATCGCAACGGCGAAGACTCGTTCGGCGGCAGGTCCTTGGCCTTGGGATCTGGCGTGGCCCTCGAGCTGTCTGCGCCGAGTCCGCCGCCCTTGGACTCGCGCTTCTTGAGCGTTTCCTTCTTGGTCCGCGCAGGTTTGGTTTCGCGGGCCATGGCTGCTATATCGTCATGCGACTGTGTTTTGCTTAGTTTCGGGTCCGGGTTGGGGTTGAGAGGCGAGGAAACTGGGGGTGCATGGTCGTCCTCGAGAGCTCGCTTTTGCGGAAGAGCAGAGGGTAATGGTATTGGGAGAACAGGCACGGGAACGGGTGTGATCTGCCGCTTGGGGGAACCAATATTGGTGGCCATGGTGACAATATCTTTTTAAACATTAATAGGGCTATGTAGTAATGGCACAGTGGCACTAATCGTAGAAGCCTGAAGTTGTAACGAGTCGAGTGGTAGAGGTGAAGAAAGTTGGAATGGGGAGCTTCAAAGTGAGGCTCTGCAACGGCGCATGCCAGGTAGGTGGTGCGCTCCATACCCCCCCACCATCCTCTCATCCCCGGGACCTTTCCCAGCAGCCCCAGCTCTCCTGTCTAACGTCGATCTCGCCCATACCTTTTCATTCATGTCGCAGCACACAACCTTGAGGCATTCATAGTGCAATGGCATATGAGATACGTCTATCACAGGCCAACTCAAATCTTGACTGGAACCATTGCATCTTTCCAAGCTTCCAAATAGCATGCCAAGTGAGAAGTTCCCAGTCATCGTACAACTGTTGGTAGCCGTTGCGTTTACCGACCGTTCATAGACACCGCAGCATACCCGTCTCAAAATACAAGTTGGCCAGCGATGATTATAGCAGGCCGAAGTGGCTCCCAGAGAAAAAGAGGGTATAATCAGAACTATACACTCATCTAGAGCCCAATTCCCGAAAGCAATTGATAAGAAATGCAGGAGTATCACAAAGCCCGCAAAAAGGTATGCAGAGCAAAAGAAAAACATCAAGCGACCAGCACGGGACTCGAACCCGCAACCTCAGTCTGCCTCCATATTACGCCTGTGAAGTAGTAAATAGGAGGACCGCGCGCTACCATTGCGCCAACCAGCCGTCGCTAAGGATCCGATGCGATCCGAGCCAGTCAGATCGATCAGGGTGGTTGGGGAGTGTCGTAAGACGGTCTATGACTCTCGGCTCTTTTTATGTGGGACAGCCCTGGATGTCTTATATGAACTGCAGGCGGTACGGCCGATATGCCGTGTATGGATGCACCGGTGGTGGTGATGTTGATTGTTGCTTGCTCAATTGCCGATGGATGGGATGTTTGGAGACGTCGGGTCGTTTGTTTGTACCATGGCTGGAAGCGCCGCATGTTTAATTGAAATTGTTGAGCAGATATCTGGCCAACGTCTTTGCTCCAGGCGAGTGGTTGGGGGCCTGGACGGCTACCCTAGTGCCGCGGGCGGGCGCCGGGCATGTGAATTGGAGCCGAGGGTTGCTGGATGGCAGGATGGTCGGGTCCAACAAATGATGTCCAGCAGATACCTAGTAGCTGCTAAACAAAGCTACAGCAATTGCTGCTGGGCTTCGAGAGCTGTTTGACGGCAACATGGCAGCGCTGACTTGAAAGGGCAATGCAACGCGGCCGGCTGCTATTGCGCTTTTGGAACCTGGCGGTATCCCAGACAGACGGCAGTAGCATAGTCGCCATCGTGACTGATGCTAATAGGCGCAATCATGTCATCGTAGACATCGTTGCCTCTGATCAGTGCCTGCGGTGGTCCAGTCGAGATTGACGGGTTTCCACCTTGCTGCAATAGCTCATGTTCTGCAATTGGGTCTGCTGGAGCGGTGCTGATAACGATCTGGTCCCACGTAAGTCGCGGCGAACGGGGATGCGCCTTCATCACTGCCTCTTTCGCGGCGAACCTGGCAGACCTGTCGTGAGTTTTGTGCTTTGTGATTTGAGCCGAGGTGCCGGAGTTGGCTGCATCGCTTACCTGCCAGCCATGTATTGCGCGGCTTTGCGCAAGGCGGGACTGCCCTGCGTCTGTTGCTGTGCATGGTGTTGGGCATTGTCACAAGACGGAGTTTTGGACGCGACAGCCGTGGAAGCCTCGGGTTCTTGGTCGAGTATGCACTCCAGTATCCTCACAGCCCTGGGTTGCTGGCGCTCCTCGGGGGTGAGAATGCGATGGACGAATCTGTGTCGTGCCTTGGATGCGATAATTTTGTGGATCCTCGAGATTTGACAAATGTCGTTGCCAATGGAAAATGGCATCAATCCTCGACCGAGCATTCTTGGTTTGGTACAAAAGAAGATAACAAGTGTTGGATTGTGTGGTGAGTTAAGGTTGAAGCTGTCGAGGGCTGGGCGTGATTGCTGGTGCAATCGCGAAAAAATCAAAACCGCGTTTGGGCGGCGCGTTCACCTTCACCAAGCTCAGATCATAATACCAGGTTACTTGTCAATTATTACGCCACATGGAACGTATCAAAACAGAGAGCAATAAAAAACGGCGAACGAAGGAGCTAATAAAGCTTTGACTTATGCATCATCGAATTTCATCCTTTCTGGGCTTCAGTCAGAGCCATTTTGAGCCTATCCATCACATGCCGGATACCTCAGTGACCCCTCAGATACCCGGAAACCATTGATGCAAAGAACCGAATTTTCAGGCCGGTCCATGACAGGCCACCAACCGCATCACATGCCATGCACACATCAAAACTCCAATACAACACATCAAAAGCAAGCCGATTCTGAAGTGACAGTCTGTCTACAGTAGTCTCAGCACCCGTGTAACCCTTGATCGATATCACACTCGTACATGGACAGACTGTACTCCCACTCATCTCCAACTCGCCGAACACACCGCTCTCTGACGCACCGATGTTGGTGTCGAAACTGCTTAGCTCTCGGCAAGCAGAGGAGCTCGCTCGGTGTCGCTTTCTTGGGTCCTGCCAAACCCGAAGTCCTTTCCGGTTGCAGCAGGAATGGCAACGACAACCGTGGCAACGAACAGGACGGCCATGATGGTGAACGCAAAGATCCACTGGAACGCGACAACCTGACGTAAGAATTGAGAGACACCGATGGCTGCAGAAAGGACACTGAGGTTGAAACCCATCGTGTAATCCTGGACGAGTCAGAATCTTGAGCTATGGTAAATGTGGGGGGCTTGGAATAGTACTGACCTTGTAGACGACGATGAAGAACAGTCCGTAGACCATGATACTCCAGATGAAGATGTTGCCAAAAATGCGAGCCACCAGTGAGTTGGCGTCAGGTACCATGATAGCACCGTTCCAGTAGATGGCGACAAAGGTCCAGGCAAGCGGTCCAGAGACGGCCGCCTGGTGGATGAAGCGGGCGTATCCGGGGTGGCGGAAGTAGAGTGAGGACAAGTTGGCGAAGTTCAGGATAATGATCAGCTCGGCCCATCCAAACGCCGATCTCACGAAGAGCATGACGAATGCGAAGTGGAACAGGTTGTTCAAGATGAAGTGACTTCCGACAGAGCACGCGGCATTTACACGCTCGACATTGCCCGAGAACAGGTGAGCGATGTAGCCACCCTGGAGAATGAAGAGAACAAGCCTGGTACCAAGCAAGTCAGAATGGGTTCGGGCGCACGAGGAGCCTCTTACTCGAGATTCTTACCAGTAGATGCTCGCGATAATGCTGTTCAATCGGAACGCCGTCGGGTAGGCATCGTTTTGTTGCCAGATGCGTCGTCGGGCCCAGTTGCCATCGTGAGGACTGTTGAAGGTGTAGTAGAACGAGACGACGACGGAGAGCAACCATGTAACAGTGGTCAAGACCTTGTAGGTGATGACTGTGTTCTTGGTGTGCTCGTCGCGCTTGGCGAACGGGTTTACTACGAGAAGAGCAATCAGCATACAGCTAATCGTATGGAGCTAGCTTTACCGTAGACATACCGTTGTGGACGCGCTCCATAATGACCGTCAGCTACTTCTGTTTCTCAGCTCGGGTGTGGTGTGGTGATGCTGATGGTGGCAGTCCTCTCGAAGTAGCAGCACCAGGAGGGGAAGAGGTGGTAAAGGGAGACAAGTGCACGTTTGACAGGCTGTCCAGTGGTTTTAAGACGTCCCAGAAAGTGACTGGGGGAATGCCACCTGCAGGTTCTTGTTTGGGTGACAGGTGACGGATGACGATGGTGGGGCTTGCTGGATGCAATGTGCATGGATGGATTTGCGGGGAAGAGGCAGTGACGTTGATTTGTGCATCCGCCTGCAGTCTCAACCAATAATGCACGCTGCAGGAATGTGGCTATCAGATGTCACTGTTCTGCATGTTGTGTATTATACGAGCTACATATGTGTATCTAATGTACGGAATGTTCAACCGTTCACCTGACTACCGGTACTCTTATTTATTATCACAAGATGTTTGAGACGGTGTTGAGGGCGAACGGGACTACTGTAGGTACCAAGGTGTATTCAGGGACCAGGCGAGTCGGCAAGCTGCCAGGCCGACCTCCCACAACTGTCATGAATACCAGGTACCTACCTTAACCAAGTGTGGCGGTGCTTTTAACACCGTGCATGAAACACGAACAAGCGAGCCAGCCTCGATGGTATCATGGTTCGCTCGTCATAGGCTCCCCAATCCCGGTTCAAGAGACGAATCAGCATCACCCTCATCACCAAGCAGTTCGTGATCCTCAGCGGACATACGTGAGGAGTCACCCATCGTGCATGACTGCTTGCAGGCTTGGCTGCTTTTCCGTTTCAATGTGGCATTGGCTGGGGTGACAAAGGACGACTTCAGGATGCACGAGCCTATCGGTGAGTGGTGGGCATGGCGATCCGACGAAAGCGCAGGCGTCCTACGCCGAGTGGCCGCGTCTGGCCGCGTCAACGGGAACTTGTTGGTGCTCGCCGGTCGGTACAATGTCCCACGATCGAGATTCAAACCTGGTCACGAGGCAGCAGGGCAAGCCACAATTGTGGAACTCGTAAGCGGGGAGGCGGTGGATAACCCTGAAGAGGGATCGGCGGATAGAGGAGAGGTTGGTCCGGATCTCCACACCCGACAGAGCCCGTTCTGCACTCGCAGCTGGGAATGCATTCAGGTTTCTGCAGTGATCAAAAGCCCGAGATTGGCACGAATGTGTTGATAGCAAACGACTTGTAACTTCAATATAAATATGATTACTGGTCAATTCCTTCGGGGAAGCAGATGAGACTTGGGAGTGATGCATTGCCGACAGCCAAGAAGCTGCCATCTGGCGCCAGCTGTCCACGTCCGCTATTCCATACCCCTATTCCAGGACGAACCCAAGGATTCATGGTATCCCGTACCATACGTCTTTGTGGTCCGCTACGATGATGACAATGGCGATACAATATAGCCTTCTGTAGGTGAGCTTATAATCTCGCTAAGTAGGTGAATAGTCGCTTCACTGCCGCAGTGCCGTACTGGATGAGCATCACCGAGCGGCCTCCATAACTTACGCGATGGCAGCGTGTAATCCCCAAGGGCTTATGAATGAGGAGGCCTCCAACTGATGCAAGCGATACATTCTCAATCTTGTTCAAATTGTTTGTTGTGAGCTCGGCAGCTCTTAACCGCTTGTCGCTTCATCTCCTTCGAGAGCTTGGCAATTCGATCAGTCCATCCGGCGCGGTGTAGTTCTCTGTCAGTGTCGTTAAGGTTTCCCCATTCTCACTATAATCCCTTCAAGTTAGGATACGAAAATGCTGGCCTTTTCGCAGTGATGTACTGGGTTGAGGACATCGCGGTCTGTTGTGGCATGGAGACACGAGTGACCATGCAAAGTTCTCGACTTGGAGTTTTCTTGTCTTGGAGCTTCTTCCCAGGCACTCGTACATCTTGGTCGGTGGTGTCATTCAAGGATACACGACTAATATAGTTAATGGTCAGAACAGACAGTACTGCGGTATGGATAAGCCGGTTCCGGTTTCAGGTTGCTTCCATGAACGCGCATGTGCCCCATGGTGTTGTAATAACCCAGGTTTGAGACGTCGTTAGGTCACCAGTATGGAGTCCTTCCCTTGCGTTTGCCCGGGTGCTTTCTGATTGTTATACTATCTCACATGAGCAATGCAGTATAACATCGGAGTGTTTGTCTGGTGACTGTGGTCGTTAAGTCCATGTGTGGAAAGGGACCTCATCTTGGCATATCACCAAATGCAACCTTACACGATACCCAATACAAGTCGTGGAGTTTCGATACCCCTTATGTTGAAAGCGTGCACTGATCAAACTGCTTCTTGTCCGAACTCATGACATATTATGATATACAACAAGGTCCGAAAAACTAAGCGTTAGTGCTGCAGCCACTGGGAGAGGTTTCAGTTCTGCCAACGCAGTTCGAGCATGAGAAAAAGGACTCGACGACGGTATCAACATTTCTAGGCACGGGATGTCGCTCTGTAGCTTCCAGATGAGTTCTGTTGTCACCAGACTAAGGGCAAGGGCCTTCAAGCCCGACTACGAGTTCTGTGAAGAACGACCTATCCAAGGGGCCATAATCTACCATTTACGAAGCATCCTACAGAATAGTTCCGATGACGATCGCATCAAATTCCCGAGCCGAGTTCGTGAAGCAATGAACGAAGGATCGTTTCCGGTTGTCGACAGCCCCTCGTTCCTGGTCGACTCGACGTGGGCGGAGGCGTGCTTGAGGACGTCAATCAGCAGATAACATACCGCAACCAGAATCACGATCCTAGAATCGATCCTCTGCAGCGCACTCAAGTCGCCGCAGGCTTTCCATCATCCGATTATGCTGTTAGTAACCACGACGGTGTGCGTTTTGGTTCAGCGGCAACGAAGTGGTACCTTGCAACAATCAACAAGACGCAGGGGATGTTATGCCTACACCGCTTCGCGACCAAATGACGGGTTTCCTATTTCGTGACCAACAGGTTGATGTTCAATGTGAAGTGTTGGAGCATTCAAGTGGCAGTGTTCCATGCTGACCAATTTACATTTTTGATCAGGGAAGTTCCAGAGCTCCTTATCTGGTAGCTGTGGTTCAAACACGTGCAGCCTGCAGCATGGCTGCAACCTCCAAGCTTGTAGACTTCTCCCATTGGTCTTCCACTTCATTGCTCGCCCGGATACACAGCGCAGGAAACCGACTGCTGCCTACATGCAAGTGCACTCCGCCTTGGCATGGCTGAGATCATACTGCGTTTGCCACCACGGCTCGCAAAACAGGGGCAATCATACACTTACACGGGGGAAAATTGTACACAACTGGAGCAGTGAAAGTCCACATCAGAAGTCTCCTTGGATAAGTCCAGCGCTCCTGGGCATCGCATGCATTTCTCCGCTATATGTTTTTCGACCACCAAGATTCGTGGCCAACAGGCTGGTACGCATGGAACCCCATATCCGCCCCTTCCTAATGCTCTTCTATCCTCGCCTGGCCGAGAACCCTAACAATATCCGATTAGCCGACCTGCCCCAGCGAAAGAGGACAAGGGAGGCTCACCATTCCGCCTATATATCATAGGTCAAAAGTTGTCCTGGTCGACAGCCTTCCCCCAGGTCGCCTGAACACGTCTCTACCCCATAAGGATTGCCTCGTCGCCTGGACGTTCCCTGCCCCAATGCAGGATGCCAGAACCGGACCTCTCGCATCGCCAGAGAATGATCTTGCGCCAGCCGCTGGGGCGATTTGTCTCGGTATCGCTGGTGCAGGGCCTCGATCTGCCTTGCCTGCTCCTGAGGCTGTTGCTTCCATTCGCCGGTTCGGTATGTCGGTTTTGGAGGCACCCAGTTGCCTTCCGTGGTGCCATGCATGTATGGTTCTCCGCTTGCGGTCCGGTGTGGCGTTTGTGGTGCGGACTTCGTCGCGTTGTGACCCGAGATGGACTTGTCCTCGGTCCACCTCCCTACAGCGGTGAGAAGAAACGAGTCGATGGGTGTGCTTTGAGACTCAGGCATCGTTGATTTTGAGAGATCAAGTATATCTCTCAATGTATATGTAACCGATGAGATGTTTTCAAGACTCGTAATTGATGGCGGGCGGATGACCTATCTATATTGAGGTAATAAGCGCCTAACATCATGGAATTGGAAATCCCATTCGGCCCAGGACTGAAGCCATACTGGAAATGCCAGCAAGGCCCGTGCCAATCAGGTAACACGCTCAGCCTGCATCTCCAGAGATGCGATTGATGATCACCAGGCTGCGTCGTGCGATTGGGAAGTTCCACTTCAACCTACCTAATTTGCCTCCTTGCCGACAAGCGCAAGGCGTCTGTGTATGCCTCTCCACCACGAGCAACCAGGCTGCGACTCTGGCTGCATGCCTTCAAGCTTCAAGCCCAGCCTGAACCTCGCACGAGGTATATAAGTTCCAATAATTTCCCATCGACTCTTGCTGGACAGTATAATACAGTCGCCAAGGATCAGGCCTCGTCGAGATCTGTGTACATGAACCACCAGGTGGTGCCTATTATACACCTCGGCTAGAGTACCACAGTCAAACGGTCTACCTTTATCCATTGTGCGAGGACCCAAGGCTACGTGTTGTGTTGCGTGGACAGCGTCTCGGGCTCCTCTAGCAACTTCCACAACACCTGATTCACCCAATTCGCCTAAACCAGTACTCTGGCTTCGCCATGCGCCAACCACCAGCCAAGCGGATAAGCAGGGAAGACTGGGGAAAGCACAAGCTGAACTTGCGGCAGCTGTACCGGGAGCAAGGCTTGCCACTGCCGCAGGTGATGCGGGAGATGAAAGCCCGACACAACTTTGAGGCATCGTAAGTCTTTCCTAAAATAAAACATAAGGGCCCATCAGTGCTCTTCGTCCCTCAGCATCCCGCATAACCACACTGGCAATACCGCAACATAACTAACACAATACTCGACACGTAGCAAAAAGCAGTATCGCTACCGCCTTGGCGAAGTCTGGGGCTGGCTGAAGTACAACCAGGGCCACAAGCGGTCTCAAACTCCCGAGACACCAAGCTACCCGGCCAGCGACCTCGAGGACAGGGATGTCCGATACCTGAGCGTGAACTTGCCCGAGAGTGTCGAGGTGTCCTCCGTGGAGTTCGATGGGATGCCCACTCCGCCGAGTGGCTCCGAGGATAACGACAGAGCCGACAGAGATGCCTCGTTTCTGGGCAGGGAGTTCATGTCGGTATTTGCCGATAGGTGCTTTCCAGTTGATGACTGCATCACCCCTTACGCAGTCCCTAAGCTGGAGAACTATGGTGAGACTCCACCTGCTGCCGATCCTTTCGAAGCGAAGAGCAGGGTAGTTCGAGGGATCACTCTAGAAATTCTGCCGAAGAACGGCTCCCTCGACGTGACTGCTTATCATCGTCTCAACTCCTCTCTCCAGGGATCATTCGAGAAGTTTGGAGATGGCCAGCACACAGAGCTGGGTCAAGCCGACAATAAGTTGCACATCACAGAGCTGGGAATTATCGAGGAACAGCCATGGTACGTCGAGTTCGACGATAGCAGCCCAGCCTCGAGGTGCCTCTGGTCCTGCTTCTACTGGTGCAAGGAAAAAATCCTTTTTTGCTCACCCGATGCCGAGGTTCCCGCGCCGTTCGGTAGACTAGGAGAAGGAGAAGCCGATGATAAGGAGAACACCATCAATAAGGATGTTTGCCTCTTCGTATACCTCTGGGACACCTGGGCATCGCGGGACAACAACGAAGCCGGTATCGAATGGGAGCAGATGTCAGAGAAAGCCCTCGGAATTACTCCGACGCATGTACTGCACACGATGAGCTCACTTATCGTGAACGTGGCAGCGGACGAGTCAGGTCCTCCAACAACAGCCGCGCCGCCTTCGCCGTCGCCACCGCCATCACTGCAACGGTCGATGCTCAGTCTCCAAAAAGACAAGACCATCACCACTCTCACTTTTATCGAACTTGCCGAGAACGGAGTCAGGGCGATCGGAAACGACGACAACGGCGGCTGGGCGAAGAGAAAGCTGGTCGCAGAGTTCGTGCGGGAGTTCGTGTACCTGCACGATCCGCGCGGCGCGCAGGGGCAGGATGAGCGTAAGTACCTCGAGGCTGCTAGAGCTGCTGCCGAGATGTACGTCGAGCGCAAGTGGTTATCGCTGGAGAGTCTGGACGGCCTAGAAGCGATGGATGTCCTGGATGATGCGGAGGATATCGGAGGCGACAGCTCTGTGGTGGATGATGACTGGAGCCTTGACGACTTGGACGATGGTAGTGAGGTGTCGGAAGAGGAGTGAAAGGAGATGGAGGTTTCTGGATCATTGGCTAGAGCTAGACTGGGTATGATGATACGAACAAACTGCAACGCATCATCTTAGCTTCGCCATTGTCTGCCCACAGAATTCAAAGGTATCGGCGTGGTACTGCGCCAGCACAGTTAGGTACAGCAATGATAGCTCCTTTCTTTGACGCAGCAGAGAGTAAGTTGGGAGGGCAACGCAGTGAAGCAGGGAGCCAGCGCGTAGAGCTTCTACGAACCCGTCGGCACTGCATATGGTCCAGTTCAGGCAATCAGAACTCACCGGGCTTGATGAAGCTGGAAGCAACTTCGGACAGCGGACTAGGCTTTGTCGTTGCAGCCGTGGTGCCGAACGCGGGAGGCCGCCGCCGATGTAACAACCCTTATTGCTTCTCCTGTCAACCAACTCCCGAGCTTGGTCCGACCATGCAACTATGGTCTCAAGCGAATATCAATCGCAGACTCTTCAGCGAACCCTCTGTCATAGCCGTGTAATAGATCTGACCGATGAACTTGGGGCAAGCACGATATCTTGGAGCTTACATAGCATTCCATTCCATGCACCTGTGTGGCTACAACCACCTGGGGCAGTCTCATATTTCGGCTTACGTGGCGGTTCGCACTTCAAATGCAATTCCACAAGAGAGAGGTGGATAAGGAGGCGTTTGCCGACTGTTTCTGCACCACCGTGGCAGTATGTGGCCTCATGCGAAAGCGGACCGGTGTGACCACGACCAACAACGGCGACGCCCGTCGTTTCCAGGGCCGACAGGAAGATTGTGAGCGCCGACAGAGTAAGCGCAATTCATCAGCCGTGAGGCTCCTTGTTCGAGGCGGGATCAGCTGGGATGGGCAAATCATTGGCATTCTCCCCCCTCTCGTTCTCGCAACGAGGCAACTGCAGCAGCTCGGGCGTAGTAACAACACTTCGCCTCTTAAACCGGCCTTTCCCGGTGCGAACATCTCGCATTAATGTAAGGAGTTTGTGAACGGTGGTCGGCGTGCAAGCGGGATGTCGGCGATAGCTGGTCAAGTGGGCGGAGAAATCGGGCAAGCGTGCCCCCCCTTAGGTGCGTCCTATTGGAGTAAGTGGGATTCGTCGGCGCGGATCCGACTTAGACCAGACAGCCCAAAGTCCCACTGCCACCATGCAACATTCAACATTGAACATCGTCATCGTATCTGCCAACGAATGCTAACGCAAAAGGAAGTTGGGTTTGCAATTCGAAATATTATCGACAATACGACCTATTTATCACAGCCCTCGAAAGCCCCTTCCTCGGTGATGGATTCCATCCTTCGTTTCTTCACAACCAGTGGTTCCAAAGCCCCTCACGACAAGACTACCTGTCCACGTCAACTGACTCCACTGTGCAACGAATCCCAATCAGACGACACACCAGACAGAAAAGGAACCACGCCATCGTTACGTACCAGCAGTCCTGAATATATTGCCTATCGGCCAATCAGCAGATCTTCAGACCCAGGCCATCGCCTGTTTTCTGCTATCACCACCGCCGCAACGGTTACCCTGTCGGCGATTATCCTAAGCCGAAATCGGCGTCGCACTAGAGGTGGGCAGTTCGCAGCACGCGGGAAAGCGGACCCAACACGACGCAGGCGGCAGACATAGAAGTGTGCTCACAACGGGAGGATCGGTGTCCGTTTGACACCGCCCGTCGTATCTGCTCCACTCCCCTATCTCGTTCCTGTCCCGCTCCAATATACCAGCACACTGGAAGAATTGTCCAAACGCTTCGCTCCCTCACCAACATGCCCTTCCTGTATCCAGTAGCATCCAACTCACTGAGCATTCGAACACGAGATATCCCAGCCATCCCGATGAATCAATTCAACCAACTCGTAGAGGACATCAGACAAGTCCTGGGCCCTTCGTCGGGTCTGGATTCGGCTGATGTCGACGTCGAGGACCTGACGCTCCTCATGGAACGATACGTGTCCAATTCCAAAGAATGGGCGACGTATGCGATGGGCAACGCCAACCTGCCGTACACCAGGAACCTCGTCGACGAGGGCAACGGCAAAGCCAACCTGGTAAGACAGCCCAGCCTAGCCTTGTCTCCTATCCCAAGTAGTTTCGGCGATGAACATGGGCCAAAGGCTGACCACTCCCTCCTATTCAGCTCGTACTCGTATGGACGCCCGGCAAAGCCAGTCCCATCCACGACCACGGCAACGCGCACTGCGTGATGAAGATCCTCCGCGGCAACCTGACCGAGACTCGATACGACTTCCCCAACGGCGACAAAGCCCAGCCGATGCAGGTCAAGTCGGAAAATGTACACAATGAGAATGCAGTCGCCTATATGGCTGACGAGCTTGGACTGCATCGAGTGTCCAACCAGGACAGCGACTACGCTGTCTCCCTACACTGTAGGTTTTCCCCTCAAAAGAGCTGCTGCTGATCTTGCCACTTGGCTAACCATGTGTATGGCAGTGTATACACCTCCCAACGTCGCCAAAACCGGCTGTAATACCTTCAACGTCGAGACCGGCAAGAAGACTCACGTACCAAAATGCAGCAACTACTCCGCATATGGTAGACGTGTGAAGGAATAGAAATCCTTGTTGAGATGACTCGACGTTTGTTTCCATGGGGTCTTGGAGTTGGCGGGCGAAGGCGAGCCTCAGCGAATGACCAGTGTTTCTTGATGAATGTATGAACCAGAGATTGAACTTTACCATCTTCGAGCGAGGAGACCGCGGCAGTCAGGGACAACGTGCTGTTGTCAGGGCCCGGACACGTTTCCGATGAGGGTTCGGACGGTGCTTCTTGGATCTGAAATAGTGTTCAGTAGATATCTCAAAGGAGAATAATACCACTTTCATCTTCATCAAAGTTGTCGTTATGGTCATGTGAGAGGTGTGATGTCGAAGGAAGAGCATTTGTGCTCATGCGGCTCGCCTGCTGGTATTAAGAATCTCCAGGCTCAGCCAAAGGCCTCTGGGAGAGGCCTAGCGCCAATTGCGCAATTGCAAATGCGCTTGTCATTGGTCGGACTCGATGGTGAAATGCCGCTTCGGATATCGGCCGAGACACCGTCAGCGTACTGTGCACGACATTTCAGGGCCGACAGCCGTACACCATCTGGTTGGAAACTCATTGCCCCAGAACATCCTTCTATACCGAGCCGGAAACTCATGACGTGCGTGTGTCGAGTTTCGCTCAGGATCAGATGGACGTATTGTACCCGACGAGATGCTATCAATTCATACAGCATTGCAAGAGTGTCCCAGGAGAAATGGCAGCAAGAGTCGCTGGTCCGCAGCCGCTCGGCACAGTGCACATAGCTCCGGTGCTCTGACTGTCAGCCCGTTGCGACAATGGGACCATACCTCAACTTTCGAAGCGGTCACCCACCAATTACAGCATGCCTACAGGTACCTAGATGAGGCGGGAGCCTTGCGACTAATCATCGTTCAAATGCGTACTCGCGATAGGAGAATGCCTTGAATTGAATTGAATTGGATTATGTCCACCTCACTGGCTTCACTGATGCCGTCTGTAACAAGGTGAAGAGAGATCATGTGACGACGTGGATCAGATCGCATCACAATTGCGGGCGTTTGTTGACTGGAAGGCGCGATTGAAACCAAAGCGCGTCAAGTTTGTAAGGGCAGCCACGATAGAGAGCTGGCCATCCCTTTCCCACCTTCAGTGCAGCTGGGTAATCTGCTTCAGCCCATCAGTCTCTTGTTGGCTTTTTTTCTTCCCACAATTCCGCGTTGCCTTGTCCACTGTTGTTATCTCGACCATCGCCATTGAAGTCTCGAGGTGACTGCACGGATCCTTTTGCGACTGAGACATTGCCGCTACGTACGCCCACAATGGCGCCGTCAAAGCGCCCTCCGCCTCCGGTCGTAGACTTGACCGGAGACCCTCCCCGGAAGGCCGCCCGGTCCAGCAATGGGTCATTTGTGCAGTCCTCAAGCCAACATGCGCCGTCTTCCAAGCCCTACCATTCAACTCCCCCATCTTCGTCATTGGCCGCTAGTCAGCAAGGACCACGTTCCTCGTGGGCTGAGGTCTCGGATGATGAGGAAAATGTTGATTACAGCCAGACCCCGCAGATGGAATTCTACGGCACGATGGAGACCAAGATCGTGGGTGTCAGATACTACAGCGGCGTGGTGACTCCGGGCGAGTCTATCATTTGCCGCCGCGAAGCAGGAAATCCATATGACAGCAACGCAATTCGTATCGACAACGTCATGGGCTCTCAGATCGGCCACTTGTCCCGCAATGTGGTGACCAAGCTCGCGCGTTACATCGACAGGCACGGTATCGTCCTGGAAGGGGTGCTCAATGGCCACAAAGGCGCTTTTGACTGTCCCATCCGCCTTTACTTCTACGGTCCAAGCGACCCTTCAGCCCGGCTACCGCTTGAGGAAAAGCTGAAAGCTGACAAGATCTTGAAGGCCACGGAGCTGAAGAACACCAGGAAAGAAGCCGAAGCCCAAAGAGCCGTCGCCATGGGCCTTAAAAACGGGACGCCTGCTGTTGGATTGGGGTCTTCCCAAGAAGCAGAACAGGAAGACTTCCTCCAGAACAGCGAAGAGATTGATATCAGAGAAGACCTCAGTGCCCTCGACGTATTCGCCATGGACGAAGATACGCTCTCGAGGATGCCAATGGCTACGCAGCCGGATGCTGTTGAGTCGAAACTCCTGCCATACCAGCTTCAGGTAAGATTCAGCATACCTCTCGCATATAATCTCTAACGACCCCAGGGACTGGCTTGGATGACAGCCAAAGAGAACCCCCAACTTCCCCCTCCAGGATCCAACGATGTTGTTCAGATGTGGAAGCGTAACGGCCAGAACGGGTTCAAGAACATCGTCTCCAGTCACGTTACCAATGATCGCCCGGCTCTGGCGTCTGGCGGACTTCTTTGCGACGACATGGGACTGGGCAAGACTCTCCAGATCATAAGTTTGATCTTGACCATTGGTTTTGATGACGGCCCAACCCTGCTTATTGCACCTGCAGGCGTGATGAGCAACTGGGAACAGCAAATGTACCGCCATGTCAAGGTTGACGAAGCTCCACGTGTGTTGAGATATCATCGGCAGAAGGGTGGACAATATTCACCACAAGACTTCCTGAAGTATGACGTCGTCATCACCAGCTATGGGAAGCTAATTGCTGAATTCACTGTCAATGACAAGCAAGGGCTCTTCTCGATGACTTGGCGACGTGTAGTTCTGGATGAAGGCCACAAAATCCGGAACGCGGCAACCAAGGCGGCCCAAGCCGCCTGCATCCTGAAAGCCAAATCTCGCTGGGTTCTGACGGGTACTCCGATGTAAGCGATCTGCCAAAACACCGCCGCCAATCCAGTCCGAGCCTGGGAATGCTGACCACCTATGTAACCAGAGTCAACGATGTCTTCGATTTCCTGTCATATCTGCGTTTTCTCAGGATCACCGGAGGCGTCGAGCAGAAAGCGCTGTTTTCGAACAAGATTGGTCAACCACTTAAGGATAACTCGGGGGACAAGAACGCGAACCAGAGCCAAAAGCGCACGGAGGCTCAGAAACTCTTCCAGTTCTTAGTTCAAGACCTGTGTCTTCGGCGCAAGAAAGACATGAGGTACATCGACCTGAAGCTCCCCGACAAGAAGGAATTCTTGCACCGAGTCACTTTCACGGAGCGTGAAAAGGAAAAGTACAACACATTACTGTGTGTAATTGCTAGCCCTGAATATGATGTTTATGCTAATAATCCGTCAGGTCAAAAGCTCAGGAGGCCTTGCGAGTGTACGAAAAGGGGAAGAACAAGCGGAAAAGAGGCTCTCAGCCAGCAGTCGAGCCGGTCAAATTCGCGGGCGTACTGGAACAACTTCTGCGCCTTAGACAGATGTGAGTGCAGCCTGAAGCTTCTGTACTGTCCTGCTACTTCATACGTTGGCCACATTCTGGTATTTCGATCATCCAGGCCATAACTAAGCATTGAGTCATAGGTGCTGTCACTGGAGTATGACCGGATCTCATGTTACGGAAATCCTTCAACAGCTCGACGATCAAGAGCTCGTCGATTTCACGGACGACAACCAGAAAATCCTCCAAGAAGCTCTGCTTGAGGCCAACAACAGTGGTGAGGAATGTCCAATCTGCTATGACGCAATCAGCATGCATAAGCCCGTGATCACGGCATGCAAGCATCGCTTTGGAATGAAATGTGTTACGGAGGCCATCAAACGAAATGGCAGCTGCCCAATGTGCCGGCAGAAACTCATAGTGGACCAGCTGCTCGAGCTCGAGGTTGTGGACCCCAAGGCTCGCGCAGATGAGATGCCAAACACCCATAGCTCCAAAACCGACCACTTGGAGCGCATCGTGGAGAAGCATCTTGCTGATCCGAAGTCAAAGGTGGTTATCTTTTCTCAGTGGACGAAGTTCCTCGACATCATCGAGTGCGTCTTGGCTGAGGCGGGACACAACTCGGTTCGCCTCGAAGGATGTATGACTATAAGCCAACGAGACAAAGCCATCGAGGCCTTGAACACTGACCCTGACACTCGAATCATGCTGGTTAGCTTGCAAGCTGCCAGTGTCGGTGTTAACTTGGTTGGAGCCGACACTGTGATCCTTGCGGACTGCTGTAAGATTTGTGTCCCTTGGCTACTAATAGCAAATGCTAACACTGCACCAGGGTGGGCACCAGCAATCGAAGACCAAGCGGTAGACCGTGTGCATCGACTGGGCCAAGAGAGGCCAGTGACGGTCTATAAATTCGTCGTGGAACAGTCGGTTGAGTATCGCGTGCTCAAGATTCAAGCCGAAAAGCGGCAATTAGTCGCCCTTGCATTCCAGGAGAAGGACGGCGGTCAGAAAAAGGAGACACTGAGCGACATTCAACGGTTGCTCTCGTCAACTCCGGACGACGAGCCTGCCCCGGGCGAACCTGACGACAGTGACCCAGTGATGGGATGACGGGCTAGGAAAGGTGTAACGACGCTCACTAATGCGGTTGATCCACCCAGAATGTATGGTGCTGCAAATTCTCGCGATGTTGGGCTCAAGCAAGCTAGAAGTCTTGTTGCTGGTCAATCTTCCTCTACATAGACTGTACATTAAACACGCAGATCCCTCTGCTCGTTCGTTGTGCATTTTGATGGCCATAAAATCAATTCAGCAATGGCTGCAAGTAAGCAGCGACTGACAGTACGATGAGTGAAAAGTGGCCAAAAGAATAAAAGGATGTCGTGCCACTTGCCAACCCGCCAACTCGAAACCCCACCCTGTCCAAAGAACTGCCAAAAGAAAGGTTCTGCTTCATTGAGCAGAACCCCCAGAAACGCGTTGTTATCTGTCAAGTGGGCTGTCCTGTCGCGGGGTTTTGAACCCCTAGAGCAGGCTTACATATGAAGCGGAGTTCATACTGTCCACGTTCGATGAAGATTTTGGTCTTGTTTTGCCATATATGCTGGAGGCTGAATTGGTCCCGCATTACTGCCGTGCCATTTCCCTAATGTCGACCTTGGCTCTTTATCAAATGATGTCTCGTCTCCCTACCTAGCCTGCGTCAACCATACGAGTTTTCCTACCTGCACTTCACTGGTGTCAACAGCGTCCACGCTGTTTAGTCGTTTGGTATGGCAAATCCCTACCATTGAGGTTATTCATGTCTTTGCTCTATGCTACATGGGTACGTACCCATTACATTACATTACACCTCCTTCTCCTTCTCCTTCTCCAACTCCGTCCGCACCTCCCTCACGATATCCATGAACCGCGCTGCCGCGATCCCGGTCAGGATGTGCCACCAGCCATGCAGTTCAAACGCCCAGGCCCAGGGCAGGCCGACGCGCGCGCGCAGCGCCCGCAGCTCGGCGCAGTACTCGAGGTCAATTTGCCAGAGGATATACCCCGAAGCCAGCACGACGAGCGCCCGAGCGGCGCGGCGCGCCCACTCGCGCCGTTTTTCAGGGGCGAATGGCGGAGCGTGCCGGTAGAGGAGGTGGTAGCCTCGCAACCCGATCAGCGCGAGGATTAGCCAGAAGCCTGTTGCGTGGTAGATTATCTTGCCCGTCCAGACGTAGAAGGCGGCGAAGAGGGTGAAGGCTAGGGTTAGGGCTGTGTTTGTTTTGAGCTGTTTGCTGCGGTTTTGAGTTGGCGATGGTGAGGTTGAGGTTGAGGATGAGGACGAGGATGGGGATGAGGAAGAGGCATGCGACACCGTCAGCAGGCCCTGCAGCAGCGACCACACGATCCCGAGCATGCCCAGCTCGTCGGCGAACTGCATTGTCTGCCGCAGGGTCGCGTGGAAGGCGAACGAGGCCACGCCGAGCACGAGGAGCGAGTGGGACATGAAGTCTGTCCTTGGCGCGAAGAGCCCGCGGCTTTTGGGGCCGCTATACATGTAGCGCAGGGCGAGGTAGACTGGGAATATCGGGTTAGAAATAGACTTGTGGTGGTGGTGTCTGAGACCGGACTGGACATACCGTAGATCAGGTTCGTCAGCGTGTTTATGAACTCGGCTAGATACCTGGTGACGGCGTAGTCCTCTTCGCAAAAGCTGTGCTCTGATTAGCCCTGTGGTATGTAATATCTTCACGATGCATCTGGCTGTTGCTTACTTGGCGGTGCTTGTCGGCGGGCTCCAGGCGCCGCTTAGCGCGTAGCGGTCACCGGCGAAATGCCGATTGTGGTGCCCCATATTGAAGCTCGAGGATACTACGGCAGTCCCTGGGCGCAGAGAAATCGCGGTGTCTCGTCGTGTGCTTCGGACGCGTCGGGATTGAAATTTGCAGATGAGCTTGGTAAAAGGGAGGTGAGGTCAAAGAGATTAAGATGAGAACCCTACCGCACGTGATGAGACTCGGGCCCGGGCTACGAGACAGGGGCCCGCAGGAACCGGGGAAACATGGAAGCGATGCATACTACGGGTTATGTACGACGGTTGTGAAAACAGACTTTGATTTATTTACTCTTACTTTGGGATGAGATTGTTTCGCAATTCGGGCACGGTTCCTTATGACTCCTTTGTGCATCCAAGTCTTTTGGTGGTTGGTCTCTCTACCTGCACGGACCTCGAGCTCGGAGTATACAGTAACCCCTGCCTTGGTGTCATGGGACAGCAGAACATGCTGATCGTACGACGGCTTGATGGTTATAGTTCTGTTAGCCAATTGAGTTCTTGAATGCTGGGGTTGGAAAGCAGTTTGTGGTTTGGTTCAAACAGTCTGTCGATGTCTTGACTCCTGAGTGCTGAACTCGACAGCTCGGACGGCAGGGCTCGGGCGATGACCCTACCCAGCCAAGAGGCACTTCATAAGACATGAAATGAGAACCCCCTTTGAACTACAGGCAGCTATGACAACCCACCGGAGTATCGGCTTCCCGGCTATCTTAGACCACGAAGGTGACCATTCATCTTTGTCTACCCCTTTTCCAGCCCTACCAAATAGTCGTGACCATGCCAAGTATTCACATGGCCATGGGCTGCAGTCCTTGTAGACTCTGTAAGCAGCGACAAATTTACGTTGCACTGCCTGTGGCGGTGAGCTGTCTCGGAATGGACGCACCCAGAAGATAGTGACGGTCACCAGCAGATACGCAACGTGCGAGCGGATACATCACGGCTAGTTGACTTGCCGGCAAGATGCAGAGCCAAGAGCTCGTCAGCCACCTTGAGTGTTATCGAAGAATCCATCGTGAAAGAGGAATGAAGTACAGCCGTTTCCAGGCGGCCGTCTCGCTGCGCCCCTTAACTAGGTAGGTAGTCTGTACGAAAACAACAACATGCATTCCAGCAGGGGCGGGCCGGCCGTGCGTCGCATGGATGCAGCCGAGACGTTGCACTGCAGGACATACTTCAGCCGATTTAGATCTGCACATGGATCCCCCGGCCACGCAGGTGAGGGAGTCTGGAGCCTTGCAGGGCGGAAGTCCGAGTAGTCAGGCCTGACTGTAGAGGATATTGGCCATACGGTGAGCAAGCAAGCCGCTGCTGTTGCAGGAACCGGTCGTCCAGTGGTACTTGGGCACTCTTCAAAGGTGACGAGTGAGGCAGATACGTAAGTAACGGCGGGGGCATGCAGATGGGACAGCCCCCCAGATGGGACAGTGCCCCCACCAAAACACAACATTTGCACCCACCCACATCTCTATCGGGATTAAAGCTGTAGATATCGTAAATATATCGTCTGAATTGTCTTTTCTTGGTGTTTCTTCCAATGTGGAATTTATTAGGTGTCCTATAGCGGGATGTCCCATGGCGGGGGTCGGAAGTTAGCACGTCCGGCCCTAATCTGAGGAGTAATGGGACCCGTGCCCCCTATCCCCTCTAACCAGGCAGAAGTTCTGCGGTTCTTTTTTTCCTTTTTTTTGTAAGTATCATAGGCTTCAGTATGTCAAAATGGCGTCTTTATACACCAAAGAAGACCTTGCTGAGGCGATAGCCACCGTGAACAGTGACGATCTGTCCCTCCAAAAGGCTGTCCAGCGCTATAGAATACCAAAAACCACCCTTTCTCACAAAGTTAAAGACTCTATGATGCCTATAACTGACACTTAATATAAAGGACATACTCACAGGCAGAAGATAAGCCCTGTTAAAAAAAAAGGTGGTTTTATGGATTCTGTACCAAAAAAAGGCCGGCCATGCCCCTACTCATGCCAATATGAGGTACATCATCCAGAAGATCCTACAATCTCAGAGAGAACCGCCTTATCTTGGGGGCCATTACATGCGAAATTTTATCCGCCAGAATTCGGAGATAAAGACCAAAATAAGCAAAAAACTTGACTACAAGCATATCAATGCTGCCATTCCCGATAACATCCATGGTTATCATGACTGCTACACAGATTTCGATTTCATCAAGCCCGGGAACCGCGCAAATGTCAATAAGTACGGCATTATGCAGGGCCAGCAGTACATACGTCCAATCCAAGTGTTTTTTAGACGGCTAACCGGGAGGTTATAGGTCTAATGGCCTTGTAATAAGCAGTTCTGGCTCAAAAGGGGCCAACGTCAAGTCTAACGATAACCGTACGTGGACTACCGTGGTAGAATCGATCACTGCCACTGGGAAAAAGCTCCGGCCGCTGGTTATCTTCAAGGCAAAGTCAATACAGACGCAGTGGTTCAAAGAGCAGCTTATTCTCGAGTATCCCGGGGTGGCAAACTGGATAGTGACTTACTCTGCTAATGGCTGGTCTTTAAACGCGATCGCGCTCAAATGGCTTAAAAAGGTTATTTTATTTTATTTTTTAATGTTAATTATATGCTAAACAATCCCCTAGATCTATCTGCCAGATACTGTCCCTGAAGACCCGAATGAGTTCCGCCTATTGGTGCTCGATGGCTGTGACGGCCTGCACAAACCTTCCCATATGACAAGTGGATACTTCTTAATAGGGGAAGGATCTGACCAGAGGATCCCCTTAAAGGGGCAACCTCCCACTGTACCTATCTCTCTCTCTCTTTCTTTCCTCTCTAGTCTTGATATTCTCATCAATAGAGTAATAGCTGCTTGCTGCAGGCCATGTCCCAGCTCCTCAGTATGCTCGCCGTGACAATGGCCATGGCAGCCACTGCTCAGATGATTTTATATATCTGTGCTATATAAATAACGTCTATCTGAGCTTTTTTCCTGCCCATACGGTAGGTTATATCCTCAATTAGTAATTATTCCGCTAATAGGGGTAGTCTCACATCTTTCAGCCCCTGGATCTGACCGTTTTCTCTGTGGAGAAGGCCGCCTATCGCTGCCTCATCAACCAGCTCGGTCAGTTGAACGATTCGGCCCCTATTGACAAGATTAAGTTCTTTTCTTGCCTGGCGAAAGCCCGTGACGAAGCTACTCCTGCTATCGGGCGTTCGGGATGGCGTGCTGCTGGCCTTTGGCCCGTAAATAGGAACAAGACACTGATAAACGAGCATATGGTAAAGGCAGCAGAGATACAAGCAACAGTTGCTGCTATAATGAACCCTGAAACCACCCCTGATGCCCTGGAAACCCCTATATCAGGGCAGGATATAGCCCTGATGTTGTCAACAGTCACAGAGACCCCTGAGCAACAAGCAGCAATACGCACGGTCACAAAGTCAAACGATGAGATGGTGGTTGAGTTAGCCATCCTGAAGCTACAAAACCAGACAAAAGAAGACAAGATCGAGCGTTTATAGCCTAAAAAGCGCCGTAAGGCCCCCCATGAAGAGCCTGATCAACGGCTATAGAGGATAAGAGACGTTATTTAGGAGCAGATTGAGCATACAGAGGCCGCACAAGTGCTGATTGACCAGCGGGCGGAGAGACGACGACTTTTGCGCGAAGTGCAGAACCTGGAGACCAAAGAATCAGAGGAATCGCTTTCTAAGGACTCCCTCTTCTCTGATTCAATAGATTTAGAAGATCTAGATGAAGGGGTGATTGTTAATAAAGAGGGCGAGGGGATGTCTGACGAGCCGGATGATGAAGAGGAAGAGCCCATTGTGATGCGATCTCAGCGCCGAGAAATCCGTCAACCCACGCGTTACCACTAAAAGCACTGATATTGCTAAAAATACCAAGAAAAGGCGATTCTTTTGATATATATATATTATCTATAACCTCAATACCAGTGGGGTTATATGTGGGTACAAATGTTGTGTTTTGGTGGGGGAACTGTCCCATCTGGGGGGCTGTCCCATCTGCATGCCCCCGCCGTTATCTATCTCAGGAAAGGGGGCATCGGCTGTGTAGTTTGTAGTCACGTTGTTGTTTGCGAGGTCGAATGATACCTCCATCCGGAGGGATCCGTCTCTTTGCACTTTGCGATCATCATAAGCGCGCGAGGCTTGCTCATCCGATCCTGTCGGCTACCCAAGTGCCGGGGAATTGAGGTGGGTATAAGTCCAAAGAATGTGGCAGTGTAGCTGCAGCCGAGCTTCCAAATATGTCAGCTGAAGAAGCGCGGCTGATGGACCAATGACCAGAGGGTTGGCACTGGCATGTTTCCCCAACGGGTAAACGGGGTGGCTTGGTCTTCAACGAACCCTCCAATCAGGAACGAGACGACAGACTCTCCCTCGCAGGACATGGTGCATGCGCCTCCCGGAATGCTCCATGCCCGTTGGCTACACTGCATTGGCTTATTTCGGGACTCTTTGTTCTCCGTGCCCATGTTTGCTCACTTCGATGAACACCGCGATGTTTATTCTTAGCCTCGCAATCAACTCTTTGTCCCCACCAACAGCCTCGTCCAGCAAACAGTACTGGAAGTATGGTAGGTGGGTAAAATATATAATGCTCGGTGAGCGGTGCTGGATAAACATGTTCCAATCTTCAACACATCGCTCCAGTCTTCAACGCATTGTTCCAACTTGCAAACGCCGATACCTACAATCAACCAGTCGCCTCTATCACCTCGATAACATAACCACCTATTCAGCAAAATGCAGACTTTCATCCCCATCTCCCTTCTCCTCGGGGCCTTCGCATCCATATCTCAGGGCGCCTCGATCCCCACTGCTCGTTTCCAGTTCTCCGTAGCAGACATCGCCGATGCAACCAACAAATGGGCCGCTGACACCAGCAAAGTCTCCCAGTTCCTATCTAGGGCCCCGATCCTGCTCGGGTCCGACCTCACCACGGCAGCCCAGGTAGCACTCGCCGCCGAGAAGGACGAACTCACTCACAAGAGCGTCCTGGACCAGCAGTTCGCTGCCAACCCATCAGTTCAGAGCGCGAAGAACACTCTCGAGAACCCGAACAACTTTCAGTTCGTCGTCGATGGTCTGACGACTCTTTCCAACGGTGCCGCCCTCTCGGCAAAGCAAGTCAGCGACTTGGTTGATCAGATCAACTTGACTCGTTGCAAGAACGTGCTCCCGGCTATTGATCGGTACTTCTCCGCCAGTTCTGCGGTGCTTCAGAATGGTCTCAGCTTAGTTGCCAACCGACCCAACAACTGCCCTTAGAGGTTATCTATGGATCTGGGACAGGAAATTAGAGAGCTGAAGTGGATCGTGGAGGAATTATGTCGGGAATAATTAGTACGAGGACTCATATAGCCGTATAGTCCTATAAAGAGTCCTGCTATTTGCACCTTGTTATAACTCCTGATTTGCACCTTTCTTCCACTCCTATCTCTCCAGGCAGCTGGTAGATTGAGGTTGTCGGTGCAGTTGTGCTGAGATAGGGGGCTGTATATAGCTGGCTGGCAGGTGGGGTGTGAATACAAGGTGCAAATAGCAGGACTCGATATAAATTCATTTCTGCACCTAGCGACGTTGCCTTGTTCCGTAACTTTCCCGCTGAGCGGTAAGATAAAAAACTGGCATAAGCAGCTCGTATAAGCGGTTTACTCCAGGCGGGGATGACTGGAATAAGCACCAACCGCTGCTTATTACATGGCGGATTAATCATTCAAGATTTGTATGGTGTACATGTAGGTCCTCGGTGAGCAAATTGGCAATGTTCCAGGCAGTTAAGCCCCATGCGAGGAAGCCCATTATGTAGTCAGGTTAAAAGGGAGAAGTGATTCCTCAGGCAGAGATTTGGGTTGGCTTTGGTATACTTCTCTCAAAATCTTTCGTGCACGACAGAAGGTCTTATAATCACTTTGTCCTCAATTTCTCATGATCTCCGGTGATTCAGAGGGGGGAGAAGTGATTTAGAGGGCGGGCAGGTGATTGATTGCTGCTGGGATCCGAACATTTCGGATGACATGCCGTGGCGGTGTAGATGAGCCAATGGGCACACCGATGTACCGACTACGGCTCCGTGAGGAATGTAGTCATTGAAAGCATAATTCAACGATTGAAGTTCATTTGCCGTAGCCAACTATAGCTAATCCCGTATATATCACTCCAACGTCTCTATATATCCCGAGCAGTAACGACCCCCACTATGGCATCAGCAACAGACTGAGCAGCGTTGAAGTTAGGGCAGTGTCCAGACACGACGGTGAACTTTTGGACCTTGCGGCCCGTGGCGGCTTCAACGTCCCTAACCATGCTCGGCTGCTCGACAAGGGGAATCGATATGTCCTCCGACGTGTGAATATTCGCCACGGGGATCTCCCGCCACGAAACCCTCTCCAGGGGCTGGAACATGGCCTTCCCATGCCATCGGCACAACGTCTTGATATAATCCTCGACATCGGTAGCCTCAACGGCGCCCGGGTAGCTGAGCCCAAACGACGTGGCTGGGTCGCGCTGCACGAAAGTCTGGTCCCCAGCAACGTCGAAGACGAGAGGCATGTCCTCCATGTTGCTGTACTCCCTGGACTTATCAGAGGTAGACATTCCCTCGCGCAGCGCGTAGCCGGCCATGTACACGAGCAGCGAGACGCCGCCTTTCCGGCCGTTAGTAGTGCGCTCCGCGAGGCCTAGCCCGCACAGCGCGTTCGAGCACACTTGGCCGCCGTATGAGTGACCGACGATGACGACTGCGCGGCCCGCAAGCACTAGGCTTTCCATGTAGCCTCGCACCAGCTGCGTGTCGTTAGTCAGGTCGGCGTTAGGCGGGCGCGCCTCATTGCACTGCGTGTACGTTAATATTCTATCTTTAAACCCGTATGGCAAATTTCTAAGATGGAGAAGGGAAGGGGACAACAAAGCTTGTTCTCGAATACAAGGCCCAGGGTCTTGGGATGGGATGTTTTCATACGTACCGTTGGGAGCCGCGGTACGTGAACCTCGAAGCCCGCGGCCTCGAGGGCTGTCGAGAGCTTCTCGTAGCTTGCGGGCGTGTGGAATGCGCCGCCGACGATGACGATTATGGGCTTGATTTCAGAGGTGGACATGGTTGTGCTGATGTTGTTACGCGGCTGGCTGGGAATGATGGGCTGTAGTGATGCGGTGCTGAATATGCTGACGAACTCAGTTGACCGTGGTGAAGCTTGCAACGGAAATCTCCAGCTTATTGCTCCGGTTCGTGTGGCAGAGGACGGCCATTGCTTGGGAATATGAATGGGGATCGTGCTAATCCTCTACAACGAGGACCCAAGGACGTGGGGTTTGTTGGTTTGGTGACATGCAGCACATGCCTGCCCAGGTGGGAGTTCGTGAATGGTTGATTTCCGTTTTCGGAAATGACAGGCATACGAAAAAAGGGACACCACCACTGACGCACCAACAGCGATGCTAGGGGGTGGACTCCCGCAATGTTGGGTGAGGGGTGTTTCTATAGTGGTCCGGTACATGTTGGCTGCAATGTGTGGCACAGACCCAAAGCAACGAGGAAGCTGCTGGCCTCGGCTATCAGATATTTACATATCCCCAGCCGAAAGCCGCCCTTTCAATTATAACACTTCTTTCGGAGAAAGTTCCAGCTTGATTGCTAGCTTTCCCAATGACTGTCATGAAGTGTTGCCATCATTGTGTAGACAGCACCATTAAGCCAACATCCTTTGGAGAAACGCACCGCAATCTGTTGGCGGTTACATGAGTCCATCACATGCAAGGAGCTGATCCTTCGGCCGGTAGTTGGTCTGCATCGGGTAGCAAGCTCCAACACCCCATCCCTTTGTCTGATGATGTAGCCGTGGTAAGCCGTTTCATTTATCCTTTGTTCCCATCCACGTGTTGTGGCTCCCGGCTGACACCTCTACGCAACATACACGGCCCAAGACGGTATGAATAACTGCAAATGATGCGGCCCACGGGCATTGAACACGATGTTCGTCTCCTCAACTCAGCATGAACCCAGCGGTGGCATCGACAGAAAGCAGTCCACGATACCTAAGCTGTGGTATAGGGAAATACCAAAAGCGCGCCACTGGATATCATGTCGGTAACCGAGACGCGCAAGTGCGATATATTCCAACATATCTTGGCTGCCACTCGACGGAGACAAGCGATCAAAGTGTAGGTATCAGCGCCCTCAGCGGCCTGGATAGTCGGCTGCCCATGACTCAGTTGTCACTCTACACCAGTTGGTTTGGCCAGTCTACACTGACCAACATTCAGTCGGCTCTATCGAGTGCCCCATTTATCGCGTACAATGTTCACCAGCGTGACATTCTGTTGGATAGCCACGACGTGTCGAAATGGTTGGTGGCAAAGAGCAATATAACGGCCTTTGTATCAGCAGTCTTCGAATATCCAACAACCCGAGGACTGGCAGCACATGACCACAACTTCATGTTCCATTCCTCGAGTTCTTCTAAATCGAAACTATGAGGGACAAAGAAACTACATCGTCTTGATGCATACATACCTACTCTATCACCGTTGGACAGGGTATATTCTATCACCTGCACCAACAAATGTCGGTTGCCGTCTCAGCTTGTTCGCTGCAGGCAACGCGAGTTTGTGTACACCGATCATCGTTGGTCTTACCAACGACTTCGAGGCTGTTGGAAAGGCATTTGAGTTGGGGCAACTTGCCAGCGAGGAGCCGAGTATAAGTATGTCGCTCTGAACCAAGCTTGACAAGAAGTGTATGATACCCTGCACTCCCCACCTGCCATTTCTTATATCATTATTGGAACCAAAGACCTCATACATCATTCCTCATATTTCTTAATCAACCCAGTGACCATGCGTCTCTTCCGGGAGAAGAAACCAGGCTCTGGCTCTGGCTACAAGCACAAAAGTTCTGACAAGATATTTGCTTTGCCTTCCAGCAGCGAGACATCACGGAGCAAAGAGGATGCCGAAGATGTCTCCTCTACCATGGATACACTGATCAGTCTCCCCCAGCCCCCCCAGCCGGAACCCCTTCTCATCCACGCCGAACTCCAGACGGTCGAGGGCGTGATCTCCGTGTTTAATGAGCTTGTCGTGGGAAACAATGAGCTTGTCGCGGGGCACAACGGCAGCCTTGAGATGGGAGTGGGGACCGTACAGAACGATCGAGCAGGACAGTTGCCAGATGAGTGGCCAACAATCGTCTTTAAATTCGCGGCCCCCGTCGACCATGTCACATGGCCAAACATAGGGGGGGGGGGGTAAAAGGTATGTTGTTCTGCAGAGAGGTGCAGTACTATCTAGGCGCGGCGGCCATGTATATGTACATGTATGATCCCTTTGTTCGCGGGATGCTTCCTGACAGACCAGGAGGACGCTGGGGATTTGGCCTGGGAAATCACGGCGCACGCGCTTGGAAAGATCGAGAAGGGCTTCAGAGCAAACGGAGTAGCCCACATGCCGCCGTGCTTCAAAGTAGGCCTGCGCATCAAAGACACACAGCCTTTGTGGGTCAGAACATACACGGCGTCGAGTTATGAGTCTGTATGCCACTTGAAGATCGAGAGTTGGGACTTCCTCAAAGCCGTCAAAACCTACATCGCCAAACTAGAGCAAAAGTGAAATAAGGGCTGTCCCGGTCGACAGATGGGCTGCCAAGAGCAGGAGGAGAGTCTTGCGTGGTTTCCGTGAACAGATGTGGAGGAGTTTGGTGTCGTACATTTGCCTCCCCCCGATCTAGCCGCATTTCGATGGGGTGCTGAGGTCGTCCATTCGTTCATACATTGCTTAGTTATAAAACCCTAAAGTTGCGCTCCAAATTCCTCTTATATGCTTATATCTACCTATAGTGGGTAGCGTCACGGGAAGAACACGGAGTATTTGACCGAATCCTCGGGTAATTTAGAAACTTGCATCGTCTCTGCGCCGAGACGTGAGACTTCAATATGAGCTCATTCAAACGTCGCGTCAACCCGACATGATGGTTTGATAGAGGCAGTATGGGTGAATCAAATCATCATATGCAACTTTGATACTAGCAGTATAGTATCTCATATTTTGCCCGGGAAAAGATGCTGCCACAATATATACGGGGCCGCTCTGGTGCTTATGAAGCACTGTTGCTGCGGAGCGAGTATCTACTAGCATCTAGAGTTTAGTTGATCGGCCATGGGGTTGAAACGCTACTTCTTGCTCGTGGTTATGTGAATCATGTAAATTTCTCCTTCTGACCTCAAGTGACTTTCGTGGGGTGCACGTACACATTTAGTCGGATTATAAGGATATATCGAACACGTTATGATCTCGTATTCCCTTTTGAAGCCTATTTGAGAGGTAAGACGTCATGTCACCGTTCAGCATCGAGACAGCGATGCCGCGCTTATGGAGCTGCGCAATCGTCAAAGCTGCACTGAGACGGATGGTGTCTGCCAGACCGAAGATAGCTTGGAGTACGAAGTCAATGGTATAACACAAAAGGCAGTGTTTGATAGAACATCTCGTACGAGAGGGTTGGTCTCGACACCAATCCAACGGGAGTTAAGTTACCAGCCAGAATCCGCATCCCATCAATAACACGCTCTACACCCTTTCCCGGCAACGCTTTGACCCTCGAATTGAGCTGCAGAGAAACCCTGGTCGCTCAGGTGAGTAGCAATGGCTGCTGAGACGGAGGTGTTCGATCCCATTGACCAGACTCATCAACCTCAGCGCAATGTATGCTCCGCCTCGGTCGGGATACGTTTGGAATGCGACATCAAATCTCCCTCCGTCAGCGTACCGGTCTTGTCGAACACTACGTGTGAAGTCATGTGTGCAATCTTTCCGCCGTCATGAACATAACCGTAGGGATAGCCTGGCATCGATCTCGGCCTCAACACCGTCGGCAGAGACCAAACTGCAGTAGAAGCCTGAACCGACTTAACTGAGATTGACTCGACGGCCTTATGACGAGCCACAGCACTGACCCATCGGCCAACCATGATCAGAGTGACCAGCAGTGTGCTTGTCTCGAAGAACTCTCCGGTAGATAGGGGATGTCCCGTGATAAGGTACCCGAACGACACGACAGAGAAGATATAGGTAGTCTGCGGGGGCGCCAAAGACGGAGATACGTTGAGAACATTGTAGAGGAGGTCCCGGGCTCCAACGATCTTCATATCATACGTGATGCGCGCAATCTTGCCGTCAACGGTATCAAGTTGTTGCACGCCGTGAGGCAGCGTTTGTCTGACGAATCGCTGTACCCCTTTGCCAGGGATGACCTCGAGCATATATCCGTCATGGCTAGTCCTAGCATTTCAACTCAGTCCAGTCGTCCTTTCGATATATTGCACCAAGTCCTCTGCCGAAGAACCTCATGAGGTCGAACTCGACCTTCGCCATGATGGGGCTCGTTTTGAGGTTGCTCACGGCCGACCTTACGCAGTGGCGGCCCTCCACAGAGTTTTGAGCGTCCACAAACTCCTCACTTCAACACCAGCTGGGTGTTTGTACGGTAGTGCCACGAGAAGACAGAGGTGTATGGGTTCGATGGATTGGGAAGGTCTGCGGTACGGTCCATAGTTACCGTCTCATGACGAGCTTCCTCGAACTTCAATCTTTTTTTATCGTGAGGAACTTCCTCGCATCTTCGGTGCAGATGCTCAGTCATCGCACGTGTAATTGGTGTGCTTATGTAACAGGAAGCACGAAACCAATAGCGAGAAAAGCCGCGGGGGCTTCTGGACGCTTGATAGGAGCTATCGGAATGTAGATGGGGGTCTTCATCTCGCAATTGGAATGTCCCGAAAAGATGGTCAACTTGCTAACGATGCGATCAGTACCTAGTAACTCCATCAAGATCACCTGTACCCTGACTAGTAGTGACTAGTAATGATTAGTGAGTGGCCAACGAAGCATCGTCACATTGAAAAGGTGTTGTTTAAAGGTAGAGTTTCAAGAGGGAGATGACCCTGACTCCTAAGCGCGGCGACCGAATGCGGCGAGGGGGTATTGTTGTATGCTGCATGTGATATCGGTATGGCGCACGGAAACAAGTCATGAACGGCAGAGTTCCGAAGCCGCAATCTACCCTAGATTGCTTGCCCAAAGGACCTACATTTGTAACCAGGGTCTGGAAAAATACGATTAGTATTCGTACTTAGTATCGTATCGTATCGTATCGTATAGGATTTTAATACTATATAGTATACGATATAGTATTATGAAAATTTTATGACTTTTATAGTTTTATATAAAACCTTAGTTAAAAAGTCGTTTTAAATCAGATTTTTATTATGTCTTATAGATTTCATTTTAAACTATTTATTCATAATTGTGACGGCCTGCACAGACCTTCCCACATAACAAGCCGATACTTCTTAATAAGGGAAGGATCTGACTACCTCTCGCTGTACCTATCTCTCTCTTTCTTCCTTTCCTTTCTAGTCTTGATATTCTCGTCAATAGAGTAATAGCTGCTTGCTGCAGGCCATGTCCCAGCTCCCCAGTATGCTCGCCGTGACGATAATAATATAACTCTTGATATATAGATATTAAAGTAAGTATTATGTATATATAACAATTTAAGGATAGTATATTAATATTATATAAAAACTTAATATCTATAGATTTAAACTTGTGGAAATCCAGGGGTCAGAATGGAATGGATGATGGTCTGTGTCTTGACTATAGATCTATAGGGGAGATTCCCACCTAAATACAGGTTTGACAGCCCTTTGATGCCCTGCTGCCTGACAGCAAACAACAAACCTGCCACTGGTCACCATAATAGACCTTTCACCCCTTTTGGGCCCCTTTCATCCCTTTCACCTAGCGGACAGCTGCAGCCCATACCTGACAGCACCACAATGCTTACAAAACTTTAATATTAAAACTTTTATAATTAGTTAAATAAAAAGAATATTCAAAAACGGCGAAATATGTCTTTAATTGTTATTTTTCCTCTTTAATAAAATACATCATTTATATTTAAAAGCCCCGCTTTTAAATCCTTGCTTAAAAATATCGTATATGATTCGTATCTGATAGTATGGGTTCGTATCGTATCGTATGACCTAAATACGATACTAAGTATCGTATTTCCAGACCCTGTTTGTAACATTGCAGCGTCGCAACACAGCATGCGACATGAGCACGGCAAGGCCCTTGGCACGACCATCAAGCCTTGAGTCTAGAAGTCTAGAGGGAATGGCTAACAATACAAGTACTGCGGCTAGACAAGCCCATGGACGGCGAACGACGAACGACGCGACGCGGTCGATTGCAAGCAAAACTTGTTGTTTGGAGCATTCCGTCTGTCCTCTGTCGGTCCGGCTTCTTGTTGGGAAGACAGCTGCTGCCATCATATGTGTTGTCTACCTGTATATTAGGTAGACAACAGAGAGCATACGCGGGAAAGTCAACACGGGAAAGTCAACACGGGACCTCAACATCAACAAGTCATCAGTCGCCGGCACGCAGCATCGTCATTGTCGCGTGGCAAGCCGTCGCCACCTAGGCAGGTACGCAAACAAGAGAGCAATGCAGGGCAACAATCCACTGCCGTGTACCTGCAGCGGGGAAGTGATTGTCTCCGGCCCGCCGAATGCTCTTGTTCTCACATCATCCCTCGCGTCATCTTCAGTTGAAGATATGACAAACCGACATTGAGATGAATCATGATGAAGAAATCGAAGAGACCGAGAGACCATGGAGTCGAACATCTTTCCCCACCTGCACGGAATGCACTACCGAGACAAGCCCGTGCCCTAATCGCGCCGTGGGATTGCGGATTGCGGATTGCGCTATGAACAGCCCCTGAACCGCTGTGGGTAATGTCCATGTGGAGGACTGGAAGCAGTGGATCGCGTGGCGGATCTGGTAATTTCGTTCCGCGCAGTCTCTCATTTCTACAGCATCTCTCAATGGCCATTGACAAGATTCCCCAGTGCACTAAGCCCCGTCCGGCCAATCACCCGCCAGGCCTGACCACGCTTGCCAAAGCCACCCCGGCCTCCCACTGTCGATCCGCCGTTGCTGCTCGCCCAGCTGCCAGGGTGCCTGCAGTGGGTGCCTGGGACTAGCCCGCCTCCTATCGCAGGGTGGACCAAGCAATGCATTCATTTCCAGCTTTGCGCCCACTCTCCTTTCCGCTTTCCGCTTTCCGATGCCTTCCTACGCTCACCTTCATTTCGCTGGAGTCGTCTTGCTTTTGCCCGCATCAACTTCGTCTTTCTTCTCTCCCCACATTCGCTTGACAGCTCTTGTCACCACGATCTTTACCACCCAACAGCCTGGAGATATCTCTCCTTTTCACTCTTTTAGAAGCCCGTCTTCGGCTTATACACACTCACTTAATCACGCTGTCGAGCGCGTCGTCTTGTTGTTGATCACGCTGTTGGTCGCACGATATTGTACGTCGCGCATCCAGATAATACACAATTCCACTCACTCGATACACTTCATACGAATACCATGAAGGTCACGACGATACAAGCCGCCTTCGGGTCAGCCATTCTTCTGCTGTCCGCCCAGCCATGCGCCGCAACAAATCAGCACAAAGTCCACCACCGACACCACGAGCTCCATGCCGACAAGAGGTACATGCACGAGCCTAGCTATACCAATGCTACCTACAACCCGAAATACGCATCGCGACTCTCCCAGACCGACAAGCTTCAGACTCGCAGCGATGCCAAGTGCGCCTTCCCAACGGACAAGGGACTGGTCGCCGTCACACCGGGTGACTTGAACGGTGGTTGGGCATTGGCCCCGGATCAAGAATGTGTTGATGGCACTTGGTGCCCCATCGCTTGTCCTCCGGGCAAGGTCATGGCGCAATGGAAGCCCGATACCACCTACACCTACCCAGAGTCAACCGTCAGTGCCCACTCTGAATAGAAACATTGCGCCAGCATGCTAACTCGACGCAGTACGGAGGTATCTACTGCAACGGCGGCGAGATCGAAGTTCCCTTTGCGCACGAAGACTGGTGTGTAGATGGCACAGGCGCTGTCGAAGCCGTGAACAAGGCCGGTTCTGTCGTTGCTTTCTGCCAGACCGTTCTCCCGGGTTACGAGGACATGACCATTCCGACTGAATGTCATGATACTGCCACTCTGGCCGTCCCCGGCATGTCCTACTGGGATGCCACAGCGTCTCAGTAAGTCCAATGTCATTTACCTTCATACATGTGGAGCAATCTCTGACTTCCGTAGCTTTTACATCAACGCCCCTGGTGTTACTGTCGAGGAAGGATGCCACTGGGGAGACCAGTCGAAGCCAATCGGTAACTGGGCTCCCTTTGTCGCGGGTGCTAACACCGTGGCGGATGGCTCCACCTTCGTCAAGCTCGGTTTGAACCCGGTGTGGCAAGACAGTGATCTCTACAACACGAAACCCACCTTTGGCCTCAAGATTGAATGCCCAGGCGGAGGCTGCAACGGCATGCCCTGCGAGATGGATGGCAACGGTGTCACCAGTAACAACAAGGCCACTGGCGCTGGAGGTTCCGACTTCTGCGTCGTCACTGTCCCCAAAGGCGGCAAGGCCAACATCGTCGTCTACAACCTGGATGGATCCGACGGCGGCGACAGTGGCGATGATACCCCGAGCTCCTCCAGCTCTGAGCCCGTGCCCGAGACTACGTCCACGTTTTCTACATCCAAGCCGACCCCATCATCGACGATAACAAGCACCCCCACATCCACATCTGTACCACCAAAGACAACGTCAAGCACATCGTCGACCACTTCTTCGACCACATCTTCAACCACATCTTCAACCACATCTTCAACGTCAAGTTCAACATCGACGTCGTCCACCTCATCCAAGGTGCAGACAACGAGCTCGTCCGTAAGCAGCAGCAGCAGCAGCAGCGTTGTGCCGACCACCTCCTCGAGTTCTTCAAGCGTCAAGGTCCCCTCCAGCTCTGCCGCTGCTTCTGCTTCTTTCATTGGTGGGATCTTCCAGCAAAACGGCACCTCCAGTACTCATGCCTGGAGTGGACCATCCGTTACGTCCGGTTCTGTCGCTGGCAGCCCAAGCGAGACCAAGCCCGCCGCCACCACCGAGGCGAACACGAGCGAGGGCGCCGCTCAACCCCAAGGCGGCGCTGCCGTCGCTGGTCTTATTATAGCCATGGTGGCCGCTGGTTACATGCTTTAGAAGCCATCGTCGACTTTGAAAAACACAACTCGCTGTCGCAGCACTCATGTTCGCCGAGCACATAATCCCGGGGCCTTTACCATGGCTATGCAAGACTCGCAACGGCCGTGGCATCATCTAATTCAGTACATAATACAGACGAGAGGAGTCAACGCACTCTGATGTTGTCGCATATAATAACGACCTAGTTGATATTGTCTATTATCTATTCAAACTACCAGTTCTCACGAATTGGCCGTCTATTCCTGCATATTCTTACTCATCTTGAGTACACCCGGTATTGCATTCTACCATATACCCCGTTTGGAGCTAGTTCAGCGGTTTGGGGTTATTCACGATTCGGCGGGAGTGCTATTTCGGACATGTCAGGGGCTGGCAGAAGATCCACTTTTGAGGGACTTTCGCACTAAAGGGGGAGCGTTTGGCTTGGAGATAAAGGAGACACGATCAAGACGTGATGCAATATATGTGAACGAATTTCGAGCACGCGCGAGGCGACCGGGCTCGCTTTCGGGACGGGAAAACTCTTCGGTGATGGATATATTCTGGCTTGGGAGGACGCGCCCTTGATGGTGTATGGTGGACAGCACTTTTGTTCTTCTGCTGCGAGACGACTTCATGGCGGGCGCTTCGTCTATTTGAGTTGAATGGAAGCTTGAATTTGAACAGGAGTCTTATTTGGCTATTGCGTAGTGAATGTTGAGTGACTGTGACTTGAACTATGCTTGTAACTCAATGCTTGGATGACTGTGTCATACGACTACTCACACTTGGGACTCGCATCCCGATGGTGCGAACTAGGTGAGTTGGTGCCTCTAGGATTGGGCCTGGTCGTATCTTCCGTCAACTGCCACCGTCTGTCCATTCAAATACAGTCAAAACCTAGCTTCAACAACAACAACATCAGCATAGCTGTATGCCCAAGGAGCACCGCTGTTTTCAGCACTGCCTTCCCTTACTTAAAAAGCCCCAAGTCCACACCGTGATCAATGAGCTTACGAACATTAGCCAAACTTTCAGTTTGAGCTGCGATCGTAAGCGGTCTCCCGCCCTGTAACATCTCCCACCCCCCTGCGGACCACCCCCCCGCGGACCAGCGCGTTCTGACCCACAAACGCGTAATTCACCAACCACCAGGATTATGGTGATCCACCATCTACACCATCACTTTTGCATCTTTTTTTTCATAAAGCACACTATTTGAATGCTTATCTACTGCTGAATCTCATGATGTCATTTTACGATCGTTAAATAAAAGCTGAAGCCGCCATTTTGGCCATCCAACGCGGAGCTCCAGTCCGCTCGTCAGCCCTCGAATGGCAAATCAGTTGCTCGTACGTCAACCGACGAATCTCTGGCACCCCAACGCGGAATGAGACCAGCGCTCTCCAACAGGCTCTCTCACCGTATCTCGAACATAAGCTGGCAAGCTGGGCCCTGGGGCAAGCACGGCTAGGGTATTCTCCGGCGGTCTCTAAGTTCCGTCTCATGGCCCAGCGGATACTCCATGCCACCAGGGATGCTCGAGAATTAGGGAAAAATTGGGCATCCAAGTTCCTGTCTCAAAACCAGGAAGTCAAGATAATGAAGTCTCGTGTTATTGACTATAACCAAGTGAATAGTGCTATAGCGGCAAATATCAACATTTTTTTCGATCGGTATGACGCCCCTGACGTGGTTAACCTCATGCCAGCATGCTGGTACAACGTCAACGAAATGGGAATCGCCCAGGGGGTTGGGGACTCCCATTGGGTGGTCTCCGAGGCCTCCGGCAACGTGGCTATGAAGAAAGGGGTCGAGAAGGGTGAATGGATAACTGCCCTAGAGTGTGTGAGCGGATCTGGTGAGACCTTGCCGCCGCTGGTGATTCTTAAGGGGGTTGACGTACAAGTTCAGTAGTTTAGCAACCAAAATGAGGACAAATTCACCAACTGGAGGTTTATTATGTCGCCTAATGGATGGACCTCGAATCCCATTGTGTTGGAATGGCTTCAACGTATCTTTATTCCTCACATTCGGGAGGTCCACGGCAACACATGGGTGGTTTTGGTGTGTGATGGCCACGACTCCCACACGAATGACGAGTTCTTAGCCACCTGCTTGTGAAACAAAGTATCGTTGATCTTTTATGAACCTCACTGCTCCCATGTAGTCCAGGTGTTAGATATGGGAGTCTTCAATTTGATAAAGAAGAGGTTAAAGACCTTACTCCAGGAAACGCCCAGCGGCCGTCTGGGACTCAGGCCATCTAAGGAGGAGGTTTTGGAGTGCTATGAGCAGGCCCAGAAGGACATAATGACGCTCCTCAACATCAGAATTGCCTGGAAAAAGACTGAGATTGTTCCTCACAACAGAGCGGAGGCGTTGAAGTCGAAATATGTGATTCTGGAGGACAAGGGGGTGGCCAGGGCACGCCAGAGGGACCCTAAGGCTTCCGAGCGAGCCATAACACCAGATTTTCTCGAGATGGTAGCTAAAACCATTATCACAACACCCTCTGGAAGCCGGGCTTTGCGGGAGAGTGCTCGAAAGCTCGAAAAAAAGGACCCTTCCTTTGGGGGGCCCTCTGAGCGCTTGTTGGTGCGGAAGGCTGGTAAGGCCATGGATGTTCAGGCTGCTACCATTACAAATCTACGGGCAAATGTGAGCTGCTTGAGGCTCAAGTGGCTAAAAAGGCTAATACCACTCAAAAAGCAGTCAAACCAACACCAGGGGAACGATTCGTCACAATGGCTAACATAAGAGAGGCCAAAATGGAGCTAAGGAACAGGAGGGTCTATAGGGACTCCGCTGCAGGCGAAGAGGTCCCACAAGAGGTCCCTGGTGAAGATTTAGGGTCGGAATCGGATTCTGGGAGCTGTATTATGGTTAGAACACCACGACCTTAGTGTATTTAGCAACTGTGGTGGTTGTAGATGGCTTCATCTGAATGAGAGTGGTGTGGTGTGGAGTGGTCCGTGGGGGGGTGGTCCGCAGGGGGGGGTGAGATGTTACTCTTTCCTCATCGCCAGCATGATTTAGGTCCGCTCCTCTCTCAAGCAGGAGATCGACAGATTCTTCATGGCATCCGCGGCACGCCTACTATACACGAAGATTATGGGATCGAGTTGTCCGCTCATCACATGTAGGTGTCAAGGAGTGGAGGTAATCCAAACACGACTTTCTCGTCTCCAGGTCGTCACACGCCATCGGCGCAGTCAATCCAACAACCCCTATATAAGCCCGAAGTCGAGACCATTTGCCACATACGACTTGCCTCCGAAAAGCGCAGTGACCTCCCTTAGTCGACGCCCCTATGAGGCGTCGGGTGTTGAATACTGTCAGATGCAAGCGAGTTCAGATTATTCAGGTTGACCAGTGTCTTCTGTTGTTGTTCTTCTTCAGCGTGCCGAGATTGATGATCTGTCTTCTTGGTGGTCAGATCATCAATCTCTGTACGCTGAAGATGTTGAATACACGGATGTTGTGAGTCCAGCTGTCAGGTGTCTTGTCGGTTGGGCCGGATTGTTGCCCAAGGGATAAGGTACCGTTTGCACTGTATCTAGTACTTAAGTGATCTTTCGGATGGGACAAGCTCCCATCCTCCTAGACAGCAAGCAGAACATCCAGAATACTAGTCATCGTAACGTGGTATTCTGGGCCCCTGCCAGAAGGCACAACCAAGCCCATGAACCCCTGTTCCTGCCATCGACGGCAATCTTTGTATCCCAAGCATTACAAGGGCGAGCATTTCGTTAGCACGCAATAAGCCGTGGGCGGGCAATTCAGCGGGGGTTGGTTGATCATAGGTATTTCAACAAGATATTGTACCGAGTATCAAAAAATGAAACAGCTTCACACAACAAAGTTCAAATCAGAATAGCCTTACACCGCCATCCCAAAGCGCTGGATGATAGCCCCCGGCGCCATTAGAAATCCACCAAACTTATATATTTCTGCGCTCCAGGTGTCGCAGGATGAGCATTTTGAAAAACGCTTTCATCCCTTCTCGAAAGGACTTTTTTTGGCCATGCAACGGATTCTGGCTGTTGTCGGTGTGTGATAGTTGTTGGCCAGGACCTGGCGGGGGGGCTGCCGCCACAGTAGTATGCTCATGGGAGGGCGGGTCCTGAACCTGAGAGGCTTCTTGGACGTTGTCGGCATGGACCACTGTCGCTTGCAGATGCGACGAGTCCATTGGCTGAGACCTTTCCGACGGCTCTGCTGCTACAGAGACCCCAGACGAATTTGCCCCAGTCAAAGCGATGGTTTCGACACCAGTGCCTTCGGGTATCACCAAAGATCGTGAACGCTCAGATCGCATGGACCTAGGGCTCTCCAAGGCGTGCTGGGCTGGCTCGATAGTTGTACCGATCGTAGACGTCGCTTCAATACCGGTGCTCCCGGCTGTTGCCAATGATGTAGTTGCTCCGGACGTACCCCCGGATCGAGAACTTTCCGACGGCGGTAGCGATTCACCGATCTCAGGCACACAAGGTTCCTCATCACCGCCGTCCGTAGTTTCTAAAGGCGGCAGTTCTGCCCGTCGACCTCGGAACATGTTTCCTAACCCCCTCGAAATACCGTCTTTATGGCCAATGATGACGGCGCCATGTTCTGGCAGCACCAGCTCACGTTTTGGTCCCTTCTTGTTCTGGCCATTGATCAAGAAGTGCTCCCGCCGACACCTTTGACCCTTGCGGTCGCATGGTCCGAACGGATCTTGTGGGCAACTCATGTAGACTTGGTCAATCAACCTCCATGCGCTCGCGTCGCCGTTTTCAAATATGTCCTCCAGGGTCGAATTACTCATGGCCAAGTATTCTGCTCCTTTTGGCACGAACCTCCAATCAGGGCACATGTATGGAGTGTCATCAGGACAGTCGCTATGTCGAATGATATCGCCGAAGCCGCGACCGAATAGTGTGACGGCTTGTATCTTGCGTACCAAGTCGAGCCACGCTTTGCTGTTGGGCCCGAGCATGGCAAATTGTACATTTGCCCTGTCATGATAAGCCAGCTTCTGGAAGTCGTACCCCTCGAGACGTAGCTGATTCTGAAACCAGGAGCTGTTCAGCTGTAACTTGAAGTCCATGTCTCCTTGCTTGTTGATGGCTTGGTCAAGCATTGCCAAGATAGAAGAAACTCTATGTCTGAGTAGTACCCAGCTCCCCTTGACGCTTTCGATCTCTTCCTCAATAGTGTTCGATGGAAGTGGAAACTTCTGCTTCTTAACATCCGTACTGCGGCCTTCTTCCTCGTGTTGGAAGTATAATTTCAGGAGAGCGTTCTGCCAAAGCGTGTTCATGGCCCGAACCCTTGGGGCCGAATCGCCACGGATGAGCTGTATGCTGTCATTTATCCTTCGGTCACCAAAAAGGCCTTCCTTTTCATCTTTAATAAGCGACATTCGCACCAAGTAAAGGAGGGCTGTACCACCATCTAGAAGGAACCCCCTGTGGTCCTCGACATCGTAAAGGACCACAAACTTTCCCGAGATGAATTTGACGTTGGCTTGGAAGTCTTCTCCCGGAGGTGTGTTGATGCATTTATCTCTCCACCCCAGAACCACCCCTGCATTTGCCGTGGCAACTTTCGAGATGCCAATCGTGATTTTGTCAAGGCCAACTTCCAGGGAAGGGGTTTGTGATAGCCCAGAACCTTTGATTCGGCAATTGCAATCTGGTGTACCTGCAAATAAATTAGCATCAGGATAAAATCGCAGAATGAGGAGTGTGAACCTGCTAAATTGTCTGCTCTCGACGTCCAACCAACCACGTGTTTCAGCTCGGCCAGCTCCTGTAATATTGAAGAGTCCACCTTGATGTCGTGCACGCTGACCCGCTTGTCATGATAGTAGATGTAGCTGCCATCCACGTTGGGAATAGCATGCCACAGAATGACGTTGTCTACTCGCTTTACAGCAACTAGAAGTGTTGAAAACCTCTTGATAAACAGTTTCCCCATGTAGGGAACAATCCTGGAGTTCGGTACCAGGGCCATCAGAGTGCTTAGCGACAGTTGTAATCCGAGTGCGGAGTCAGGACACCGGAGCGAAATGGGATAACCCCTTACCACCAACGGGTTTCGAAATAGTCCTTGCCAACAAGCGCCAATCTCTGGTCTTTGTAGATTCTCATCGAGCTTAGGTGAGGCTGCCAATTCAATATGCATTGACACTTTTGAGGGAGAACGATTGGTTGTTCGTATCTCTCCCAATGAAGGCTCGCAAGTGCCCACTTCCGTAAAGTCTGAAGATCGAAGAGCGCAGCTGATCCACATGAGTTGTTCGCCAATCTCGACAACCGAGTCGGGGTGCCCGCAAGCTTCCAGCGTGAAGTGACCATCCTTGGCCCAGGCTCGAAGCGTGGTATCGTCGCTCAACTTTCCTAAGACCAGATTTAAGTCAAGTCCAAACAGAGTAGAATAGTAACGTACCATCATGCGGGGTGCCTTCTGCAGATCTAACAACAGATTGCACTTGCTGTATGAAAGCATGTGCCGACTCTGACCACTGTCTCATGAGGTATTCGCCACAAGCCAAACCTTCTGCTTGTGTAGTGGTTCCTACCAAGACCAGCGCCTCCACAACAGCTTCTTCTGGTGGAACACCGTATTCCTGCTCTTCAAAGAAGGAATGCGGAGACCACTCTGCATCAAAGACGGCGTCAATACATCGTGGCGTTGACTTCCGGCTGAATTGCTGCTTCTCGTTGAGTTCTCTAAACATCGCTTCCGACAGTCCCTGCATTGCTGATTTGTTGGGAACCACATGCTCCAATTCACTCCGCAACTCCGATAGTAGCCATTCATAAGCACGCGATTCAGTCACCAACCTTGAAAAGTCGTCCTGCTCTGGGTGCCATGCCTCGTCCTCCAAATCTGTGTCTGGCTTGGCCTCTCGGGTTTCGGATTCGAGTGCAATATTTGGGTCATGTATGTCGTCTAGCAAATTGGGAAGCCAGCCATTTACCTTGTCGTCATATGGCATTGCAGGCGGCGACAATGCCTTCGCCGACTTCGAATCTTTCGACGATCCAAGAGCTTTCGTTATGAAATGATTGGCAACCGGCCTAGGTGGCGCGTCAGACGAGAATTCATGAAAGCACTTCAGCGAATGGAGTAGCCTCACTTTCGATGCTTAAGTATGAATCGCATTGTGTCTCGATAGTTCTTACCCTCTCCCTCTTTGGCAATTTTGAATGCAAAGATCCGGAGCATGCGTGGTAGGGAGTCTGAAACCCTCGCAACATCTTCCTCGTCGGTAGCCCCGAGCGACAGGTCGTGATATAATCTATCAGCCAGATACTCTTCACAGTTATGTATCCTCTGCCCGATGGAGTCGTTTGAATTCTGCGTGTAGACTGTACCACGTTCAGATAAGTCGTCCGTTCCCTCCGTCGTAGGCCCATACTGCTGGAAAGCCTCGCTCAAGGAACCTATCAACCGATTCGAGCCATCTCGGGCTATGGACGTCCCAATGGCGGAATCGTGGAACGTTTTTTCGGAGAGGGTCCCAGCACTTCTGAGTCCTCTTATCGATTCTTGTTGTTGATCTAGAAGCTGCGAGTGCAATGCAATATTGTCGGATGCATCGTTCGTCTCTTCCTCTAAGTTGTTCATGCTGGAAACTGTGCCGGGAAGCTCTCGGCCCAGCACCTTCCCCTTCAGCTCTAGTGTCTGCCAGTGCATCTGCTCGGCCTCGTCATGCTTCCCCTGGTGTCGAAGGCCTTCTGCGAGGTTGTTCATGCTAGCAAGTGTGTCAGGATGCTCTCGGCCCAGCACCTTGTCCCTCAGCTCCAGTGTCTGCCGGTGCATCTGCTCGGCCTCGTCATGCTTCCCCTGGTGTCGAAGGCCTTCTGCGAGGTTGTCCATGCTGGTCAGTGTGTCGGGATGCTCTCGGCCCAGCACCTTCGTTTTCAGCTTTAGTGTCTGCCAGTGAATCTGCTCGGCCTCTGCGTGCTTCCCCTGGCTATCAAGGACGAGCGCGAGGTTGTTCATGCTGTTCAGTATGTCGGGATGCCCACGCTTTATTAGAGGTATAATTAAAGTATTTCAAGCGTATAATATTCAACGCGCAACGCGTTAATTCTTTTACTTCGTTTAGAATTATTAAATATTTTGTTGGAACAGGCTTGAACGATCAATTATAATACTCGAGTTTTGTTTGTTTTGTATTTAACGTGGGGGTAGCTCCTCAGTAGTGCAAACCACGCCTCCCAGAGCCTCTGCATCGCAGGGTTGTGGAGGTCTCAAGATAATAAGTACAGTCAGTCCCGCTCACGGGCCCATCCCCGTTGTTGCGGCGGTATGACCTTGGGGTCATCCATCTGGTCCTTCAAGGAAGGCTATCTATCGGGGGCAGATTGTTGAAAAGAACTTGCTCTTCTCCACGAATTTTGCCCATTCTGTGCTCCTCTCCCCTAAGTATTATAAACAAGCTGCCCTAGGCGAATGCCTAGGCAGTAGCCGATTTTTCCCCAGCCTCTTACAAAAGAAAATGTGTTGTGGTGTTTTCTTCTCACCATAGCTGTAGTGATTATTTGAGTCTGTGTGCCCAAAGCGTTCATGGTATCTGGCAAAGTCGCCATATCCAGATCTGGCCGCTAGAAGTCTGTGTAAAGTACTCCTCTTAAAAGATATAAGGTCTCTTTTAGTTACTGCATGTGAGTATACTTCTTGATACCTAGATTCTGATTGGTCTTTCCACCATTGGTTGAACTCTTTCTTGCCCTATCTTTTGAGATCTCTCTTGACCCAAGAGATTGTAAGAAAATTTATTGTGTCTGTTTCCAGCATGGCACCCTCTTTTGCTAGTGTGTTGGCAGCTTTGTTGTCATCAATATCTCTGTGTCCAGGAATCCATTTGACGGTCACTCCAGGAGTGTGTGCTGTGGCAAGTTCTTGAAATCGTAGAAAAATGTTTTGTGATGTCTCGGGTGGAGTCCCATTGAGCCCATCTACCACTGACGTGTTGTCCAGGCAGACATATAGCTGTTTTCCGTGTCCAATTGCCCTGGCTGTTACAAGACCTTGGAGAGCACCATGGACTTCAGCATCTATTACTTCTGCTTGTAGAAGTCTGCCCCTTTCCCGGTATACTTCTTGTGTAGTGCCGCCTTTCCTGATGGTATAACCCCATCCAGTGCGGATTGTGCCTTGGTCATCCAACTGTGATCCATCTGAGTAGATGACAAGGTCAGTGTTCACGTTTCTCTCTTGTAACCATTACTTGAAGAGCTCTGTTTCTTTGTCTTTGTTTTTGCGGATTGGGCGCTTCTTCCATGATGGCCTGGTAAGTATTGGTCTCTGGAAGTCAGGGACTAGCTGGAAGCTCCTTTGTAGCCTTGTTGGATCCTTGCGAGCTTGTATTTGGAGCCTGCCAACCAGAGGGTGTCTCTGATCTATTCGTCCTAGTCAGAGGCCGTGACGTCGTCTTATTGACTCTACAAGAACTCCTGCTGGGGGAATCTGCGATTCAAAGTGTAAGATATGTCCAGGGTGTGTTTTCCAGACTGACAAGATAGCCCTGATCGCCGTTCGTAGTACGGCATCTATTGTTCCAAGAAGCCCCTTAATGCGACATGCTGATGTCTCACCTAAGCTCCCAGCTTTCTCGATTCCTGGGTACCAGGCCTCCAGGCCATGTGTGAGAATAGGAATAACACAAGCTTTCACAGTCCTCTTGGTTAACTTTACTGGAAGTCCTTTGATTGTGTTGCATAGTCCTCGAAGGTGATTTGCTACCCTACTAGCTTTCTTGGCCCAGTGAGAAACATGGTCTTTGAAGTTTAGTTTCCTATCCAGAAGGACACCTAGCCATCGCATGGAATGCTTAGCTGTTTTGTTCATTATTCCGTGGCAAACTGGGGGATTATCTGAGTTCTTTTTCCGTGAGAAGTGCATAATCTCGGTTTTGTCGGGATCAAATTTAATAGCATTGTTATGTCCCCATTGGTTGAGTAAATGAAGGTTTTCAGAAGCCTCTGTAGCTGTTTCTTCAAGGTTCTTTCCAATGCAGAGTGTTGCTAGGTTATCTGCATATCCAAAGCGTCTTCTTTTCATGCCAAATCGGGCACAGATTGGCTCTGTATACAGCATGTAGAGGATTGGAGAGACTGGTGAGCCTTGTGGGAGCCCACAAGTGAGAGCTTTTATATCGGTCACAGTACCTTCAAACCGAACTCTTGCGGACCGCTCGGACATGAACGACTGGACCCATCTTATGAGAAAGCCTGGCCAGCCCTGTTCTCTCATGCGAACCACCAGCCGTCCCATTAGGGCAGCATCAAAGGCCCCTTTCACATCTGATGTGACTACCGTTGCAACGAGGCCTTGGTCAAGGGCCTGTTCAATATCGTGTATGAGTGCAGCTACCAGGTCAGTGGCAGAGCGCTTTGGTAGAGCTCCAAAATGTTGTGGGGCTAGAATTCCAAGTTTGATAACAAACCAGGTAATTCTTTTCGCAATGAGTCGTTCTAGGCCCTTGCCAAGACATGACAGTAGCGATATTGGTCTGTAGGCCCTGGGATTGGAGTAGTCTTTCTTTCCTGGTTTTGGGATCATCACCACCTCAGCTACTTTGAATGGTTTAGGGTGGTGTCCAATCAGTAGGCAGGTCTGGAAAAGGGCTCTGATATGTTCACCAATGACTGGCCAGCAAGCTTTCAGAATCCGTACTGTGAGGGTATCTACTCCCGGGGAGTTGCTCTTGGTTCCTAAAGTGCACCCTTTAGCCTCTTCCAGTCCGACGTGGTATTCAAGGGGGATGTGTGGCTTGGGTTGTATGATCTGAGCGGACCAGGGGTCGATGATATCGTTATCTGAGGTACTTCGTTCAAGCGTGGCTGAGCGTAATGCATTTGTCTTGCTCTCTTGTGACTCGAATATTTGGTCTCCTATGATGATTGGAGGGGAACGCAATCCTGCTGATAACTTGTGCCAAGAGACGATTCTGTATAGGTCCTTTGGCTCAGTTGCTGAATTGATTAGAGTCTGCCAGTACTCTCTCCTAGCTTTCTGAACCACGCCGCGAAATTCTTGTCGGGCTGAATTCCGTCCTTCTTGGCTTGTAGTCTGTTTGGAAAGGGCCCTGTATGTCTGAACAGCTGCTTTGCAGTCATCATTCCACCAAGCAGTGGGCCTAGATTGACGGGGCCTCTTGCCCACTGTCCTGATACAGCCTTGGATCATGTTGATCAGGCTTTGTGTAAAGGTGTCCACCTGGCCAGGGGATACACCCAGCCAGGGGAGTTCATGAATCCTGGTTTGGACATTATCTGCCAGCTCCTGTAGTTTATCGTCCGGTACTATCCAATGATTGGCCTTGGGTACTCGTCTAGATCTCCCTGGATTGGAATGACTATTCGTAATGTCTCATGATCTGAGGTGCACTGAAGTGCATCATTGACTGAGGCTTCAGCCATGGGGACATCAGAGAACACCAGATCTAGTACATTTCTGTCATCATGTGTCGGGACATCTGGTTCAGAAATCAGATCCAGTCCGTGGTCTGTCATAGTTTGTGCAAGTATAGCACCACCATGATATCCTGGATTGCTTGAGTCCCAGGATGTATCGCCAGCATTGAAATCTCCAGCTATAACGCAGCCAAAAGGTGGAGTCCATACTTCCAGAATGTCATCCACTTCCTGTGGGTTGTCACATGGCCGGTAGACACTGGCAAATGTAATGCCTTGTACCTTGACCCAGGTGATGTCTCGTGTAGCATAGGGCCGAAGTTGATCTGCTTATAGGTATTTTCTCACATAGATGAGAGATCTGGGCCGTGTACTGTCGCTGTCCCAGGAATCCACTGGGGAGAATATATCGTAATTGGGGTGTGTCTTTACTCCCATTCTTCTGCCTGGTGGTATGCCAACCCAGGGCTCTTGCATCAGAATGATGTCTGCTTGTTCTCCTTTATAGTCAGCCAGGTTGATGGCTAACTCTGTAGGGCCTGCACTCTTTTGTCCTCCTGCTGTATTCACAGAATGGATAACTAGATGCCTGTGTCGATATGTTTCGTTTGATGTACCTAATATTGACTGACAACAATGGTATTGGCATCTCTGGGATGAGTTGTATCTGTTGTGTCGATTTGCATTGTGGTGTCTTTGTTATTATTGCTAGGTGTTGACCCAGCTTGGTTTCTGCCTGTTTCGTTGAAGGCCTTGGATTTGGCTCTTTCTCCGGCTAGCCTTATTTCCTGGATTTGCTCCCATGTGTGCTTATGGATGGTACCTTTCACAACCTTGGGGCGGGCAGGGCATTTGTCGAAGTTGGCAGCATGAGGTCCCTTGCAGTTGACACACTTTGGGATTGGTTTTTCGCACTCTCCCTGGTGTACTGTGTTGGCGCAATGTGCACATACTTGCTTTTCGCATCGGTAATTCCTACCATGGTATCTGAAGCAGCTTGCACACTGGTGAACCTTGGGGGTGTGTTGAATATGCCTTGAGGTCATTGAGTGGGCAAAAAGCGTGAATGGTTTCCTTGCTGCACTGGGCAGAGAGATTATCCATGTAGTTTCTGGATCAGAATCAATTGTGTTCTTTGAGAGTATGCACCTCAGAGGTCTGTCGCCTGTTTGGGCTTCAACTTTATCGGCAACAATAGTGTCAGTAATATCGATTGTGAACCCTTCTGCACTGATGACCTTTCTTGGGCATCTATTGACCTTATAATGATGCCAGACTGTGTGGGTCTCAATCTTTTGTGCCTTAAGAATGTCGGCAATTTCTTCTTGGAAAGCCAGAAGCTTAGCCTGAGTTGGCTTGTCCCTTGGGTGTAAGGTAAAACCAGAAGGACACCGTGTCACTTCTCTAAGCTCCTGAGGGTGGAGCTTAAGTCTTCTGTTCAGTGTAGACTTGATTCCATAAGGCTCTAAATGGCTATTATCCATGCGGACAAAGACCCGGAGATCATCCTGTTTCTTCTTCAGTTGGTTGGCAGTGATAAGGGCGCCAGGCTGTGTTTTTTTCATGGTAGTGTTGACTGTCCATGGATGCTGTCGTTGGCCAGAGGAGACAGCTTGGGCGAAGGTCATGGTGGGCTTCCCTATCCCTATCCCGCCAGGAGTGGTCTTTCTTTTGGACAGATCTCGGGTTTCCAGCCACTCGTTCAGGCATTTGGAGAAGAAAGCGCTGAACTCCTTGGCATGAGAGTATAGTTCGGTTCCAGCTTTTTCCAGTGTCTTATCGACTGCTGCAGCACACTCTTGAAACATTGTCATCCTGGCTTCATAGAGATACTTGTTTTTAGCCAGTATTTTGGCTACTTGGTCCTGGCACTTTGAGGAAGAGACCTTGTTCCCTGTATCGCCTCCAATGGCTTGGTCTGTAGAGATTTCGTTTGATTGAGGTACTTCCATATCAATGATGCTGCTAGTATTAATATTTCAGGATTTTCCTTTCAGAGGGGAAACAATGGTGAAGTCAGCCTCAGAGACCTGTGACGGGCTGCTGTTGATGTCGTCGAGCAGTGCCTGGCGGAGCTTGCTTGGGGTTGCCGGGCCATATGTTCTTTTAGGGACCGGGGATTTGAGCACGCCGCCAGTAGTCGTCTTTGGGACGGCCACTGGCGTATTTGGGGGCCTATCGTGAAGGGGTGCCATCCAGCTTGTGAGAAAAATTTTCTGCGCCTTGGCAAGGATAATCAGGTACTGAAATAAATGCCTGTTTTAGTGCAGATATAGAGGTTGCGCCCTAACAGCGGGGCGCCAAGAAAAATAGTTGTTTTTGGTAAGAGTGTGTGTATAATACTCGAGTATTGGCAAGGTCATGATGTTGCTGATGGGTTGGTTTGAGAGGTCTAGCTGGACTCCCAGGTCTGGCTAAGTGACCTCACAATCCGGTATCTAATCTCTTATCTAATCATACATGTGGGTTTGGTATGGATGGTTGGAATGTGGAATCGCATAGATCCAACATATTTAATATTAAAGTATGTTATAAAGTAATATTTAGTAAGATATAATTATTAAAAAACAAAAGTTAAAAATCGTATGATAAATAAATTAACTTTTATTATAAATAAGTATTTATTAAGTCTGAGTTATTAAACTATATATTATTTATGAAGTATGAATTATGAAACTAATGCGCTAGTAAAATCGATTCAAAATGTTTATGGTGAGTAAATCTTTTTTAAAAACATATTACTTGTTAAATTTGATATTATACATATCAAACCTACTAGTAATTATAATAAAACCTAAAAAAATATTACTATATAAAGCGTATATATATAAGTATATATTAATATATAAGTACGGGTTGGAAAGTTTAAACTAAAAGGGTTAAAACAGTATATACTTATAATATTATCCGGCTTTATTAGCTTTTAATTAATTAATTTAGTTAGTATAATAGGACTTTCTTATTGTTATTTCTTAATAATATGTGTTAAAATAGTAGAGGTTTTTTTTAAAATAATAGAAAATAATTACATAATTAATAATTAAAAATATTTTTTGGATAAAAATAACGAATTAATAACGTAGTTATAACGGTAGTTAAAGAGGCGCTATATTAAATAGGGTTAAAAAGGTACAGTTTATAGATTGAAGCTTGTAATTATAAAGTTATTAATGACTATATACTATATATGGTAACCATATATAAATTGCACGATGCATGACCATGTATGAGATGCACCCAGTCAGTGGAGCGAGCCAATCAAACACGGCAGCCAGTGAATACACGCCGGGCAGTAAATGCGGCCCGGCCAGAGCCAGTGAATCCGTGTATGAGAAGCACCATGCGTGGTAACCATGTATGTCGCACCATGCCTGAGGTTTCCAAAGGTGATTTGGTCCAAGTGAGTTAAGCCAGCCAATCAGGGCCCTGAATTTGGCTCAGTTTTGCCGCCCGGGGATAGGAAGGAAAGAGCCAGGCGAGCGTGCTACAAACCGACCAATCGGATCACCAGCTTTGGCGCGCCCTCTGCAAGGAGGGCCGGTGGGGGCGGGCGGCCACTGTTATCTGCACGCACCTGGCAGTGGTCACGGCCACTCAGAAACCTCGGGTATCTGCAAGCGCGAGCGCAGCCTGGTCCCGTCATTGGCATCCATCCATTGATCACCAACACCAAGAGGCTTTGCCATCATCACCCCAGGGCCTTGAATTGTTGGTTCATCACATATGGCTTCGAGAGACTGGTCCAAAGAGAGTATCGGATTGTTGGGTCGCCTGTGGCCTCTCAACTGCTCTCGCCCGAGGCTGCCTTCTGGGCAGGATGGACAACATGGCGGTTTAGATTGATTGATTGATATTCTTTAACGGCTGGAGAGCAGCAGGACCCAGTTCTCCCGAGGGTGCATAGGGCCGTGGTAAGGTGTCTACCACATCTAGCAAGCTAAATACAGTAGGTGATACCAGTATCATACCTCATAGGCTGGCAATCTCGTAACTCCGTATCCACTCCTATTCAGAACTTCCGGGTCTTATGCTCTCAGGATCCAGCTGGGGATTGTGATCTATTTGGGAGCCTCCTTTCTGGAAGGGGGCTGTGGGTGTTGGTTCAGCAGACGTGCTGATCCCTGGGGCAGGAGGTGACGACCTTCTGGCTTGGGAGCGTGGGGGCGCCCATTCCCTGGGCCAGGGGTGACGCAACATGGCGACCTATGGGCACCCAAAGTCCTACACGTCTTGTATATAAGCACAGGGTGTTATTCTGATCCTCTCGCAGGGTGAATGGAAGAGAGATCACCTTGCAATCAAACCCCCAGAGACGGGTCTGCCAACCACTACTACACCACCTGATTCTCAACGACGTCCCTCGTTACTCAGAGCATCACGTCTCGCTTGCTCCCCTCAATTCAACCGACGCCAGCATTCCTGAGAGGAACCACTCTATAAAGTAAGTGTACATCAACTACTATTAGCGCACTACCGTGACTTGCCTAACCTAAACCTGGTAGAATGGCTTTATTAGCACCAGCAGTCCTTGTCCTTGAATGCACGTTCAATTCAGCAGAACCAAATGGAACGCCGAGGAAGCAGATCGATTGTGGGAGCAAAACCTGTCCGACCTCCATCAACTACGAAGAAAGCAAGGATTGAGGCAGGTTGCTGCAGCTTTAGCTTGGAGATTCCGAGAGGTCTTCTGGCGGCTTGTGGTCAGCCACAGGCAAGATACAGGGGACATTGGCAATGATCTGAGGATATCTTGATATATTTTCCTGACCAGTGGTTGGGATGGACTGCACTATGTTCCCGTTCGGACAGATGAACCTTTGGCGGAAGAACGCTCCACAGCATCAGAGCACAATTGGCATGTGAGCATCATATAGATCAGCCCATAGTTCACTTCTCACTTGACTTCTCATGGTTCCTGATGCAGCCCGGTGGCAACCAGTTTCCCCCTTTCCAGTTTGTAGCTGGGTTAAAAGCCCGGTCTACCATTGCAGATCATCCACAGACCCCGATAACCATGTCTTCAACTCGGCGAACGCCTGCATATCATTATCCGGAGTCGAAGAATCAACAGCTGGATCATGCCACTCGTGTGTCCTTCCCGTCGCTGTCTTTCGTAGTTGCTCACCAACGTGGCGGCAGCTACCAAAGTCGATGAGCACGAGCGTCTGATGAGTCTCGTCCCACATGATGTTGGCTGGCGCGATGTCGTTGTGGACGAGGTCGAGGGAGTGGAGGTGCCGAATGCCTCCCAACAGCTGGTCGAGCGCGCGCAGGATGCCATGGCCAACCAGAGGCCGACCGCTCGACATGAAGTGGCGTTTGTTCAAGCCCTGCGGATTCATGGCCTCCAGTAGTGTTTTCTCGTACTTATTGAAGCAGAGTGCGGAAGCGCGTCCGTGGACGGCGCGGCAGCCGTGGTAGGTGGCGATGTTTGGGTGTGGATTGTGCCGTAGGATCTCGCACACTTGGATTTCTAGCTGCATGCGGAATTCGAGGTCGAAGTCGGGGGCGTAGTCGGATAGTTTTGGGGCCTTCACGTAGTGGTCCGAGTCCGAGTCGCCCCGGCCCGTTGAACTTGTATCCGCTACTGCTACTTTCCACGAGGGCTGCAGCTTGGGCCCTCTGTCCTCTGTTTGCAGCTGCTTGACGTTGAAGAGGTCGGCAAGCTCGATTCCAGTCTCACGGCGCTGGTGCCACGATGCAAGGTAAAGCTGGTCGTTCATTCGCACGATGCCTTTCATACAAAAGAAGCCGAATTTGCCATCGATTGTTTTGAATGCTTGCTGACATTCGATTACCTCCATTGTGCAGGGTTGCAGTTGATACTAACTTGGTAGGCAGACTGTGGGTGATAGATCGATAATGTTTAATGAATAGAGTGGAGGATGGGGCACCATGCGTGGTAACCATGTATCATAGGGTTACATGGGGATCCAGGTGAAGACCTTATTAGCTCTTTAAAGTAGCCGTACTTTTATAAGCCGAGTAAGGCCCGGGCGTATTTAACGCGGTTACTACCGACTAATAAAATAATACTTAAACGATAAAAACCTTAAAATTAATTAACGAAGGATGTTGTTGGAACAGGCTTGAACGATCAATCATAATACTCGAGTATGGGGTCAAGGTCATGATGTTGCTGATGGTTGGATTGAGAGGAATCTAGCTGGACCGAAGGTCTGGCCAAGTGCCCTCTCAATCCACTATCTTATCTTATCTAATCATACATGTGGGTCCTGGTATAGATGGTTTGCAGTCTGGAATCGCATGGATCCAACAGATGTAAAGGATTAGTTTTAAAACGCTTAATATTAATTAAAGTTTAAATTAAATATTATTTAACGATATATTTTACGTCATTACGAAATTTACAGCATATATTTAAAGCGTTTATATAAGCGATAAATAGCGTTTAAACTATAAAGCGATTATTATTGTATCGTATTATAAAAGAGTCTTAGAATACGTTATTTTAAAGTAAATAACCGATAGATTATTTACGTAATTATAATAAAAAGTACGTATAATATTGAAATGTTTTTCGATATATATTAACGGGTAATTATCTTAGAAGTGTTATAATTTAATAAGAAAACCTTTAAAAACTAACCTTTTAAAATATATAACCGATCTACTTTTTATAATATAATATTTCTTATTCTTATTTTATATGTAAGGGTTAAAGTAGCTGAATGCTGAAGCAAGGTGATGGTGGTGATTCTAAAAAGTAGATGTATGAGGATACTTCAATCTATCCTGGTATATTTGTGGGAATTAGGCGTTTTAAGGGGATGTGGTAGTGGAGCTTTAGGGCTCCGATCGGCGACCAGTTCTTGACATGCTAGTGCAATACCCTTACATTATATAAGCGGCTAATATTTTCGGCTTTTGTTTTTAATAATTATATATATATATATATGTTAGCTTAAAGACTTATCTCGTTTCTTTTTTATTAAATCTTATAAAATCTTTTTTACTTATTATACGTGTTATTTTAACCGATGATAAAAGGTCGTCGTTAATATTTAGTAGTTTAAATGTATTTATTATGATTAATAATTTATTATTTTATTAATCATCAAAGCTTCTAAACTTTATAAGTAATTATTAAATCTTTTAATCTTTACTTTTTATGTTGAATAAACTTATTATGAGATACGGGGTGCCGTATAGGTGTGTTGGCAGCTGTTCATGCAGCTGTACCTGACCAGAATAGGTGGTCAAAGGATGAAAGAGGTGAAGACACCAGAAGTGGTAGCTTTCAGGGTGATGGACAAGGCTCCATTGATTGCCAGATCAATAGATGGGCGAATCTTTATGCTTTGAAGTTTATTTAGTACTAGGTTTGATCCCCAGATCCGATAGACGATTACGGAAGCAAGTCACCCTAATATTGGACCCTGAATTGTAACACTTATAATAAAAAGCTTCATTAAGTTATCTAAAATCGGTTATTAATACGCTTATAAAAGGTCGTAAAAAGGTTTATAAGGTGGTTAGTTTTTAATAAGCTTTATAACTGCTTTAATTTTACTAAGTTAATATTACTTATTATAACTTTGCGGCTTATAGTAAATCATTTAAGCTTCATTATTATTGTAAAATAATGTTTAATATAATTTAGATTGTTTCTAATATTTGTGATGTTTTATATTATTATTCAACGTAGACTTATTAAATGAAACTTACAACGACTTAAAAATACTAACATATGAAAAATAAAATGAAAATTAAGTTACATTAATGATAAATTACTTTTAAATATATGATTAAAATTTAATATATATAACTTTTTGATCTTACCTCACGTTTATAAATTATGGTAATAACCCTCATTTAATAATAATAAGATGTATAAATAAAACATATTAAATGCGATATTATATATTAATTCTCATAAAGGAGTTTTATAATTATAACGCCATATTAGTGATAAGATAAGTGTTTACTTTATTTATTATATACTTACTTTTAAACCATTTTAATAAAGGCTCTTTTATTTACCTACTTTTTTTCTAAACTTTTAAACTTTTAATTTTATGTAATATTTAAAGCTACTAGCTATTATACGTCTTTATAGCTATAATGAAGTCTTCAATTCGTATTATCTTTTTACACTTATATAAAAAGGTAGTACGTCGTAATAAAAGTCTTTATTATATACGTCCTATTATTTAACTATTTAAATAGCTTTTGTCACGGCGAGCGTACTGGGGAGTTGAGACATGGCCTGCAACAAGCAGCTATTACTTTATTGACGAGAATATCAAGACTAGAGAGGAAAGGAAGAGAGAGAGAGATAGGTACAGCTGGAGGTTGTCCCTTTAAGAGGGATCCTCTGGTCAGATCCTTCCCTTATTGTGAGGTATCGGCTTGTCATTTTCGAAGGTCCGTGCAGGCCGTTACAGCTTTAATAAGTTTTAATCGTTTTAATTAGCTTTAATAACCTTAACTGCTTTATGAGGCCTTTTATTATTAACACCGTGTTATATAAAAATGTTTTAACTTTTATAACGTTATAACTTTTTTCTCGTAATATTCCCGTCGATTAACGAGCTTTATACCGTAACCTTATCGTATAATTACCTTTTAAAAAGACTTTTATGTCATTAAATCTCTTATATTTAAAGCTTTATAATGTTTTTAACATTATATGATAAGTATTACTTACTTATTAACACCTTTTTATTTCCAAATATATATACATGTCTTTTAATCAAAAAATCCTTTATATATACTACTTATAACTTAACGAACGTTTATTTATTTATAAGAATTTATATATATATGAATATATATTAACGCCGTTAAAGCTTTAATATGTGACGAGCCGTCCAATCTATAAGGCTAAAGGGTTCTATAGGGTTTATATTTTGAGGTAAGTCAACACAAAGGACGATAGAGGCTTCTGTTAACTAGAAGACACTCAGATGCTGAAGCTTGGTCTGATCTGGAGGATCACTGAATAGTCGATTCGTCAGGAGATTTCTCCCACCTTAGGGTTGGCTAAGATGCTTAGATTGATCACTGAGGTAGAGACTGTCTATCTATCTGGTTGGGAAATGTCTGTCCTTATATATCTAATCTCTCCCTCACTGATTAGGTGGCTCACCCTGGATCACCAGTGATCCAAGGTGATCCTGCTCACTGGCTCACCATGGTGATCCAGTGATCCAAATTCTTAGTTACGTGACCCAGGTTCTGCTGGTCACGTGATCTGTGTACCGTTGCTCCGATTTCTCAACTGGTCGGCACCCCACCTGTCAGATACCAGCGCACCATTTGGGCCATGCACTGACCATGTCACGTGGATGACAGCGCACTAGACTGCGACCAGCCACCAGGCCAGAACTAGTACTGAAAACTCGTACACAGATAGACGGGGCTTAATCACAACACAATAATACACTCATCAATTGACCCTTATATTCAACAATGAAGAGTCTCACTTGTTTTTAAGCAATCGGCATACATACATCACAAATACGGAGTCATCTAATAACCCCTTTTTCCAACCATGAATATCACGGTCCCTGTACAAAACGCCACGGCACTACCGCTCTCGCAAGGACTTCATCGCCTGGTGTCTCCAGTTCAGAAAAAGAGCTGAAGTTCAGGATATCTTGATATACATCGACCCGAAATCAACTAAACCCTGGCCTGAAGCTCCTAGTCCCCTAGATATCGAATCCGAGGACTATACAAAGAGGGTTACCCGGAGCGCCACTCAAGGACAACCTATCCGACGATACAATGCCTCTCAACTCACTAATGACAGAGCCAACCTCTTCAAGGTAGATATCACACAGTTTGAATACGAAGACAAGGTCTATTAGCGCTTAAGGGCTCAGCGGAAAAGCTCACCCAGTGGGTGTTCAAGACCGTAGATCAGACCACCCAACAAATAAAGCTTCCCCCTGAGGCGAATCTCCGCAATTGGTACAAGGCCCTCTCTAATGAGGGCGCTATATATAATGAGCATGTTATGTACAAGGCTCAAGTAGAGTATCAAGCTATTATCTCCATAATTGATAACAAGCTACAAAAAAAGAAAGAAAAGGATTTCATATCATAGATCAATGACTAGGAGAAAGTGATGATTAAAGCGATCAGAGCCAAGATTCCTGAAACCACATCTCCAGCTACCTGGTTTAATGACTTTATCAGGGCTTCCTCCTCAGTCAATGCCAACTGGTCCTCTCAAGCCAGAGTTACCAAAAAGACGGGTGTGCTAGAAGGTACCATCAGTTATTCAGAGATCGCTTCAGACCTCCAGGAAGACTGGCTCACCACACACGGCGGTATAAACCCGACAAAGGGCTAGAAAGCAGGTGTCACGGCGAGCGTACTGAGGAGCTGGGACATGGCCGGCAGCAAGCAGCTATTACTCTATTGACGAGAATATCAAGACTAGAGAGGAAAGGAAGAGAGAGAGAGATAGGTACAGTGGGAGGTTGCCCCTTTAAGGGGATCCTCTGGTCAGATCCTTCCCCTATTAGGAAGTATCCACTTGTCATGTGGGAAGGTCTGTGCAGGCCGTCACAGCAGGGTTCTCAGCGCTCTATGGTGAACGGGCTAAAGATACAAGGAATGATAAGAATAACAAGAGCAAGAAAGATGATCAAAGAGGCCGCGACTAACAATGCCAGTGCGGCAGAGGAAGGAACAACAGAAGCAGGAACCGAGAATGCTTAAGAGAAGGCTCCAGAAGTAGCTCACGAGGTGGCTATGGAGGCTCTGAAAGCAAGAGGTGCTACAATGACGACGAGACCTCACAGCGAGTCTGTAAACGGTGCTATGTAGC